GATTGCGATCACGCTTGGGTTGATGTACAGTGTGAATCTGATATTCATGACTACTGTGATTTACCCTTCTTTGAGTCTAAATGTTTTCTTAGGATTTCTTCTTGCCCCTGGTGCGACACCTATGATGAAGAGTTTTTAGCGGAAACTGAAGCCTTTAGTTTCTCAGACTCTACTTTTGATGATTATTAGGTTTTGTTTATTTAAACAGTTGTTTTGTTTTGAGGAATGTAACCAGTACGGGTACTCGGTTATTGTTTTTGTTTTATGTTTTGTTTTAAGTATCGCTTTGATACTTGGTTTGTTTTAAGTATCGTTTGATACTTGGTTTTGTTTTATGTTTTGTTTTAAGTATCGCTTTGATACTTGGTTTGTTTTAAGTATCGTTTGATACTTGGTTTTGTTTTATGTTTTGTTTTAAGTATCGCTTTAATACTTAGTTTGTTTTAAGTATCATTTGATACTTGGCTTTGTTTTATGTTTTATTCTAAGTATCGCTTTGATACTTAAGGAGTTTTACCAAAGTGTATCGATTGATACCTTTGATTAGTTTCGTTCATGCTAGACATGAACAGATTTGTGTATTTAAAGACCGCCTGTTTCTACAATAGAAAAGGCAGACTTCGACAGACAGTATTTCAATATACTTGGTTGAACAGTTACTTCTTTGTTCCCCAGTACACCCTCGAAGCCTCCTTTAGTTCTCAGCTCTCGCCCCCTCTCTGGAAGAGCAGGCCACCTGCCAACTATCGTACTTATTACCAATAACGTGATTAGCACCCTGCAAACACGTTACAGGTGCAAAGGCAAGAAATAGTGGTATTAATTCATTTAGCCTCGGTCTTGTGTTAGGGGCTGCTTTCACACTTACGTAGGTAGAATGATGTGTTTGGCAATTGGTTGACGTTTACATTTTTATCGCATTACCTTGATGTATGTACTTGTATTTTCATCGTGTATTCGGAAGCAGGCATTAGTAAGGATTTATAGCTTAACACTACAACCAAAGATGGGTAGAAAAAGATGGGTAGAAGAATCTACTATTACTTGTATAATTTATCCTTGTTTAGGTCAAGCTTCGTCTCCTGCAGTGCATTTTAATTCAAGCGATACTACTCTTATTGTGATCATTATTGTTACCATCGGCTACAATCTCTTCCCCTACTAAGTTACACCCTTCATGTCTTCGTAATTCTGACATAATCGTTGGCACTTTTATAGTAACCGCATTCCAAATACACCATGGGAATACAAGTACTGTACTCGAGTACTGAAATAACAACGAACTATTCTAGATAAGGTTATGGTTAGTCAATACAGTAAGAGATTAAACAGTAGACAAGGATATTCGTGACATGTCGAAGATGGGTGGGATTCCACTAATCGTACCAGGGAAGAAAGTATTCAAAAATACGAGTTGTGAGTTTATATCAATCTTAGCGGTGGCACCCGGACACAATATTTATCCCAATGTTCATGTATTTCTTGAGGGGCACGAAACAGGGGGAGCTTTGCCGTTTTCTTTTCTGTACCGTATAAGTAGTACTGTGTCTTAGAGATTTTACGGTATTTTCTTTAGTATTTAACTTAGATCCTACACGCTCAAGCAACATTTGAACGTACTGTACGGTATCATACTGTTCGCTGAGTGGCGGCGAAGGCCTGGAATCAATAAGGGAAGGTTCGATAGACTTACCCACAACCCCCGGCACAAGTAGCTGTTAACCTCCCAGTTCTGATCCAGCAGCAGATCTTCGGTTTTCTTAGAAGTTATTAACATTGGTCACAGTCACAACTAAAACACATTGCTTACACTCCTGAAACCGGCTTACCGGTAGACGACCTCCCACCCGAACACCCGGACAAACACTGATTGGTGGGTTTTGTATGAGGAACCGCCTTAATTTCATATTATTTATCCTAGTTAAACCTATCCGGCGTGATCATCACAGTAGCCTCAGTTCATCCGAAAGTTTCTTATTTCGGTTTAGCTGTCCAGGTGAGGGGGGTGTTCGAGTGGCCCCAGAGACCGTCTACTCCACACTTGTAAGAACCTGGGCACCAGAGGATGATGAAATCAAGAATAGACTTTGATGACCTACCAGTAGTTCACCACCTCCCCAAGCCCTAGGTGTTTGAGGAGCAAGTTCTTGGGTATGGTAATTGAGACACTGCAGACTGATCTGCAACTACTTGTACTTCTATGGTGGGGAATACTTAGACCGCCTCAACAAGAATGGCTTCAAGTCTCAAGGGCAAGACCAAAAAGTTGGACTATCAAAGAGAGTCAATTGGGAATTAGCTGCAGAGGAGAACTTCATTGCTTTCATGTGGGAGTGGCAGTGCGATTGCTTGGGTAAAAACGAATAAATCAAGATAGCCTGTACAGAAATACTCAATTTGACGATATTATACGGTATTGTAATCCAAGAAATAGTCTACGGAATTTTTTTTTGTGAGATAAACAAATAGATCTAGTAATCACCCAGGTTGCAAATCTATACACAAGAATCTCTCAAAGAGTTATAGTTAAAATACGTATTGTATGTAGAGTGCCCTTAACACCGAATGATGGGCGGTTTAGTACTTACAGTGATGCACCGGGGTGATGGGGCGGCAGCGATGTGCCGGGGTGCTGGGGTGGCAGCGGTGCGCCGGGTCGCGGTGCGTAGCCCCTAGAGGAACTTGTTATTTACTCAGAAGAATCAAAAAAAGTATCCTAACGCGCCCCAAAGAGGCATCCAGGGCACCGCTTTCGGACCCTCATCGTGAAAGATCACTCGAATATACAACCATTGTGCACGCCGGAGGTTTAGAGGCAATGGTAAGATATCGAAAAAGGGTATAAAGCGAAAATGGGGGAATATGGAAAGGTATAGGAAGGTGTCATATAGATCGGCGGCAGAGAGTGTCATTTTGCTTATTTGTTGTATTGCTACTTGCGCCAGAAATCACTCTACCTATAATTACTCCATATATGGGGGGTCCACAGAGGAATAGTGGCGGGGCTTGGCTTGTTCACCTCAACAAAGGTACTAAAGTTCTCCTAGGCAGCTGCTAATTCAGAGGTGAACGCAAAATGCCGTGGTGATTTTAATAGTGTTGCCATCCTCAAAACATTTGAGAAACCAAACTGTCTCGAAAGAAGGAAGAAAAAAGCCCCCGGAATGTCCCAGATAGTTCGAGTCATTGCAGAAAGAAAATGGGAGCCTTCTAAGCCACTCCAGTTTTTCTTGTTCAGTCCTTCAAGTGCTTTTGGAGATGGCAATACCAATATTGTACGGTGGCGGGACCACGTGCCCGTTTCTAATGAAGGGGGGGAACGTCCTAGATGCGGAACACCGAAAGTCCATCATGGATGGCGGAGAAGAGTACAATTGGATTTGTAACAAGCTATGGTACTGGCATATGGGTACTCGTACAAATGCGGTACAAATACAAGTATGTTATACCGGTGCCGGTACTTTGCAAACAAGTTTGACACGCTGTTACCGCATTAGCAACCGACGCTCTGACTTCCAAAGCGTTGTGGGTAAAAGCTGAGACCCGCCATTCTCTCAGTAGCAAGGCTAAGCTTTTTTGAGGCTCAACCGTACTGCAAGGTTCCAAGGGGAAACGATATCGGGATGCGATGCTGCGGGGTACTGCAAGTCCGATGCCGCACTGTGTGCAAACTATGGAGCCACAATACTATTTTTATGTGATGTCATACTTTTTACGTGCTATGCGACCCGGGAGCCCTGTTTGGGTACGGCATCTGTACAATTCGACACAATGATATTAGGCTTTGTGAATCTCTCACCAAGATATCTTGGAGAATGAGCGGGTATCTTAAATTTACAATGGAACAATTACAGTACCGTGCTTGCATTATGCTGCCCCCTAGGCAGAGAGGTGCCCCGTGACAGGTTTGCCCTATAGTAGGAACTCGAATACCGTGGGTGGGCCTCACACCCGGGGGCGTTGGGTAAGAGTTGCCTTCGCCTGCGGGGTTTGGAACCGTACCGATATTTCGGACGGGAGCCGAAGGAATTAATTAATCTTTGCGGTGTTTCTCCCATATCTAGGAGAGGGAATTAGTGTGAGGCACGTTTGTTCGGGTCCTACTGGATATGGGTGATGGAGGGATTGGTTCTCTTGCCCTCCTAACCTGCTCTTGTGGGTGTCGATTGGTATGATAAACATTCCATCATACATAATATTATTTGATGATCCAGGGTGATGGCTCTGGAACTCTCTCTGGTATCATAATGTTGATGAAGAGCCAGGAAATGCGCCACACTGCTTTCGACCAGCGCGGGGTTGGATGAGGGATCGAGGGTTGTCGGCGTTTGTATGGGGTTTTAGGGTTTCAAGAGTAAGAAGTCAAGAAGCTCTACTGTATCATACCACCAGTACAGGTACAGTACTGTACAATAACGGAGTTGTAGTGACGTGTTGGTCGCGGATGCTCGTGCTGCGCTTATGCTCGGCTGCGCGGTCGAGATCACGGATGGTGAGGGATAAGAATGTTGAATCTGTGCCTTGGCCCTTGGATACGGGTGCTAGCATTGAGATTTAATGATATCACATGGGTCTCGCGGACAAGCAACGTGAGCGGCTTGGGCACCTTTGGGGGAGTGCGGCATGTCACCTCTAAATTTACCCTCCCTTCGCGTGATGCCAAGCCTATGACTATGATTCGATACTGAGTACTCGTCGTAGGGTGTTTTTAAGTGCCAAGGTTTCGCGTCCCGCACGAATCTAATTCTACTCATACCTCCACGTCCTCCAACTCCTCATCCTCCACAACCCGCCGGGCTACCACCAATAACCTGTGGTCTGTTCTCTCACTATTCCCAGATTCAGCTCTTATATTTGTTTGTTTGCTAGTTGTCGTCGTTTTTTTTTTGTTTTTTTTGGCTTCAAGCTTCACCCACCTAGCTCTCTGCCTTGAGGTCCTCTCAACATCTTCCTGGGGTGTTTGTTCGCACTACCCTCGTAAGTTTAGCCCAAGGTCGACGATGTCTGCTCCTGATGCTTTAGACGTCGAGGATATCGAGTCTGGCTTAAGGTAGGCTTCTAGGTTTTTCTCTTTCGTCTGGTTATTTGATGTATTAATCTTCCCCATTCTAGGCTCGTACACAGCCTCCCGGAACAAGTTCACTGGCTATGTGATAAGATCGAGAAACGAGATGATGGGGTAGAAGTAAAATATGAGGGGGATAAATCGCGTCGGAACCGATCGGTAACGCATGCCATGGTGCTGCTATCTTTTGCCGACCAGGAGGCAACCCAAGCCTGGTTTACGGCTGCGCTGAATGCCCAACTATCAAGGTGTCCACGCTGCGTTGAGCAGTTCTATATTTTGAAGAAGGGATTGTATAGGGAGCTGTTGGAGTGAGTCCCGTATTTATTTTCTTCTTTTCTCCTTTTCGATTTGGTGCTCTAATCTGTATTTTCCGATTTTGTCCTCTGGGATTTATTAACCCCGTTCTAGGGCCGACAACAAGGATAATGTTGATATGTTCTTTAATTTTCTTCACACTTGCGACGCCAACCGTGTGGGGCCAGTATTAAAGGAGGTTGCCAGCGAGCTCAGGAACTCGCCCACTGTGGAGTCTTGGCATCAGACATTTCAGAGTCGTGCGCAGTATAGGAACGGTGTTTACGAAGTTTTTTGCTGTCCAGACCTCCTTCGAGACCCGGAGATCAACGCGGATTTTACCGATATCTGTGCGACTCGGAAGGTATTTCCGGAGGGACCCGGAGAGGGACTGATTAGCTTTCTTTTTCGCGACGACGAGAGACTTCGGTTTCCAGTGGAACATTCCTGGAAAGAGCTAGGTCCGCATATTACCCCTGAGGTATTCGAAACCCACTTGCTGGCTACGTTAGAAGCTCAGGTTCAGAGGATGGAGGTTCAGTCTGATCCAGGGCAGCTCCAGTTATTCTTCGCTGGATTGGTAATTATTGTTCAATCAGTTTCGAAGGAGCTTATAATGAAGTGTATTTGTGGTGCTCAAAACGATCCGATCAAACTGGCTGTCAACCGAATCTCAAACAATGCCTCGTATCTCCCCGCCCTACTTGGGCTTTTCGATGCTTTAATGATACAACTTGGTTTTGAGTTCTGGGACGTTGCCCAGCCTTTGACACCTTCAGCCTTGATAGATACGCTGCTCGCGAATGGAATTTTTGCGAACCTCCTGAAGCGTGCACCACAAGATACCTCTGGGGAAAGGCTTTTGATTGGTCTGACGGGGTGGATGTCTTCCTTGGTGGCAAGTGTGAGGCCGTTGTCACGAGCCACACCCGCTGCACCCCTCTTACGGCTGCTTTTAAAAGACCGGAGCTTACCGGCTTTGTCCAAAGGTATCTGTCTTAAGGAGGGAATGAAAATACTGAGCATGACCTTGAGTGGTGTTTCTGCCCACCCCATCGAGGGCGAGGGTGGCCGAATGATCCTGCGACAAACCAACGAACTTTTCGACGAGTACACCCTTTTGGTCGTTGAAATCGCCATCTCCTTCTCCACCAGATTCAATGATCAGATCATGGCAAATCATATGGGAATTGCACAGAAAAATGCCTACAATGCTATGCTTTTAGCTTTGGAATTGGACGTCAAGGTTATGAAGACAGATTTTAGTTTACTATCGAAGAAGAAACCCGAGATCCCGCACGCCGAGACTAGCATACGAACATCGCTGTGGGATGCAGTGTGCAAAAATATTCCTATTAACCACGTTAAACTTGCCACCGATCTTTTATTGATATTTTGTGAGATCTTTGGCATTGGGAAATCTGTCCATCCGAAGGGTATTGATACCGGCAGTGAGGCGGACAGGCGTAGAGATGCATTCAATAAGGCGTTGGATATTCTCTCTCGATGCTTCGCTCGTATATTCCAACGGATAAGCCAATTTGCACCCGACAAGCTAAAAATGGTTGTGAATGGGGAGCATTCCCGGATCGCTCTTTTTGTTGGGGTTATATTTCCTCCAAAGGATGTGGCTTTTGGCGCTGAGGATATTCTGCTTAGTTGTTATGGTGTTGATAGTCGTGAAAACGCAATACACGCCATGTTTGACGAGAATCTGGCTATGGCGCTATCTGCTGTGACAGCCATCAGCCGTACGCAGGCTAAGTCCAGTGTATTTGATCTCATGCCGGCAATGATTAGGTTCAATCAGGAGATCCTCGAGGTTCTGTGTGCTCCCGACAAGGGTGTTATCTCCAATATCGACTTGGAAAACTGGACGAAGACGGCTCTCAGGGTTTATTGGGATATTCAATGGAGAGTAGTTGGTAATATTTTCAAGAGGTGCCGCCGGTGGTCACACACAGTGGGGAAAGAGGCGATGATAGAGTTTACTCGAGATTCCATAGACTATGCGACGGAGCTTTTTCGTCGGTTTTGGACGTTTGAGCAGGCGTTTCGTGCCAAAGGCCCTGACAATGAGTCTACTCGCCCCCAGCGGGAAGCGAGTTGGAGGGCAAGACTTCTCCAAGATCCATCGAAAGCCTTGGATTCCATAGCCGCTCTTCTCACCATCCAGGACATGCATCTATTGAGCTCCAGTCAGGAGTTAATGTGCAACATACTAGAACTGCTTGCCAAAGAGAATGTTGACGTCGAAGATGAGTTTGTGAACAATATGAGGCCTATTTTATTCTCGGACTCACGTGCCGGTGCACGGACGATGACAAATTTGGTTGAAGCACAAAAGGCGCAGCTCATGCATGCTTTGAGTGCGGTTAGGCCCGACTTTGCTCCGCTTGAAGGTAAGTGTTATGGTTGCCCAAATTACCACCTAAGCTCATTATTCAGCTTGCTAACGTGAATCATTTAACAGCAAAATCTAAGATTGTTGAGATATCTGACGATGAATATGACGACATTCCAGACGACGATCTCATACGAGCAAGCGAGCGGTCCCTTCGGATTGCCTCCCGAAAACAGGCTAGGCTTGACTTCCCTGTCGCCCCAACTCCTCCTACCTACGAACAAAAGCTCCATAAAGTTGGGGTATCAAAATCATCATCGATCATTGACGACCTAAGAGTTGGGACTCCCAAAGCCATTTCTGTTGTACCCAGGAATGAATTCCTTCTCAAGCGGAAAGCGGATCTAGCTGCTTCCGAAGCTGCGAAAGCTGCGCGCTTGGAGTTAAAGAAGAAAGAACAGGCGCCCGTCGTCCCTAGTTCTGACGAAGATGATAGTAGCGACGACGGTGGTGGCAATGGCTTGTTTAGACTTGGAAACTCTGTGCAACGGTCAACAAAGCCCATACCTGAGCCAAAGTTGATCGATGCTAAACCGAAGAACTTGCTCCGCCAACCTGCAGTGCCCACACGACGAGTTAAAGATAACCGCGCCCGGGTTGCACCCGACCTTTCACCCCTCTACAAACAAGTTCTTAAATGGGAATTTTTCCACGACGATGTCTTCCCCCCTGGCCTCAGTGCTACGAACTATAGCAAGGTAGCAAGTACATTTGGTTCGTATGCAGCTTATAAGAAGACTTTCGAGCCTTTACTGTTACTCGAGGCTTGGCAGGCACTCAAGCAGGCCAAGGAAGAGGCCCCTCAACCTGTAGTAAAACTCAATCTAGTGACTAGAATGAGCGCAGATAATTTCGTCGAACTCGAAATTACTATCGATGGAATGAATGAACGCAACAGATGGCTCGAGTCTGATGTTGTTCTAGTTTCTGTCGGTAAAAAACCTCTTGCTTCCAAGGATTCTCCTCACTGTCTTGCGAGAGTCCATAGCCTCAAGAAAAAGTTTCCTGGAGCGAATACTACCGAGGTACAGCTGCGCTGTGATCCTTCCCCTCAGATGGTGCAAGAAAATATGAGGAATGGAAGCACACTCTACGCTACCAGGATTATGGGGTAAGTATATCTATCTGATTCTGGTCAGAAGTTTGTCATTGCTTTTGCTAATCCCAATCTTGAAGCTTTGTACCCACAGAGAGAGAATACAGCGCCTTGATGTGTTTAAAGTATTATGATCTTGAACAGGAAATTTTAGCTGCCAAACCTTCCTCACTCGAAGAACCAACAGAGAAGCAGATAGTTCGAACCAGGGGTCTTTACAAGGTGAACGAGCCCCAGGCGCGAGCGATTTTATCCGCAGTGAAAAATACGGGATTCACATTGATACAAGGGTAATTAGTGGCGCGCATCCCCAAGCAATCCAAAGTTGTTTACTAATTCTTGAGCAGCCCACCTGGCACTGGAAAAACTAAGACAGTGGTCGGGATTGTCGGAGCCCTCTTAACACCAAAAGTCGGAAGCACAGTCATTCAAATACCTGGCTCAATGAACAAGTCTCCCAAGCCTACAACCAAGAAACTCTTAGTTTGTGCGCCAAGTAATGCTGCAGTTGACGAATTAGTCCTCCGGTTCAAAAAAGGCATCCTCACAGCAAAAGGTGAGGAGATGCAGCCAAAAGTTGTACGAATCGGGAAATCCGATGCCGTAAATTTCACTGTTCGGGATGTTACTCTGGATGAATTAGTTGAACGTAAAATGGCCCCAACGAAAGAATCAGCGAACAGTAAGAATGCCGATATGGATGAATTGAGACAGAAACATCGCGCCATTCTTGACGAGCGTGATGCAAAACTCAAACAATTAGAAGATGCAAGGGCCAAGTCGATAGATCCGGGGACGTTGCAATCTGAGATTGATAGCCTGAATGCGACCCTTCGTGAAACTAGACGCAGTTTGGACCTTAAACGAGACCAGAAGAAGGAGAGTAGCCGGAACGCAGAAGTCCTTAAACGCCGTATTCAACAGGAGATCATGGACGAGGCCCATATCATTTGTGCCACGCTTAGCGGAACTGGGCATGACCTATTGCGAAATATTAACGTCGATTTTGAGACCGTGATAATTGATGAAGCAGCCCAATCAGTCGAGCTTAGCGCGCTTATCCCGCTAAAATTTGGATGCGAGAAATGTATCCTTGTTGGGGATCCTAAACAGCTGGTTAGTTTCATTCCCGTCGATTTCTCAAGTCCGAGTTGCATGGCAACCCCAATCGGGGTTGCTGACTGCTAAAAATAGTGACGCCATTCCTTCCACCTTTTCCTTCAATGGACTCTCTTGCCCCGCATGCGCTAATCAAATATGCAGCCTCCGACAGTCTTATCCCGCGAAGCAGCGAAATTCAGTTATGAAAAGAGTTTATTTGTGCGCATGCAAGAGAACCACCCTAAGGATGTCCATCTGCTCAGTATCCAGTATCGCATGCATCCCATGATTAGTTCCTTTCCGAGAAAGCAGTTTTACGATTCCGAATTGGAGGATGGGGAAAACATGAAGGAGCTTCGAACCGAAGTGTGGCACAAGAATCCAATCTATGCGCCCTATCGCTTTTTCAACATTGCCGGGCAGGAATCCGCAGGAGGACTTCATTCGCTAGTTAATCGTCAAGAGGCCCAGAGCGCCCTCTCGCTGTACCAACGACTGACGGCTGATTTCCCGCAAACTAACTTTGACGGTAAAATAGGCATAATCACACCATACAAACAGCAGATTAACCTATTGAAAACCACCTTCCGTGATGTATATGGGGAGAATATCTGCGACACTATCGACTTTAACACCACGGATGCCTTTCAAGGGAGAGAGCGTGACATTATCATCTTCTCCTGTGTGCGAGCCTCTCAGGAGGGCGGGATTGGGTTTTTGAGCGACGTCCGCCGCATGAACGTTGGTTTGACCAGAGCAAAGTTCTCTCTATTCGTGCTGGGCCATTCTACATCGTTGATGAGGAATAGATTGTGGGCGTCGTTGGTTCAGGATGCAAAGGATAGAGGTGTATTCGACGAAGAGACTTTCGCGGAGTTCGGCTCGAATGCTAAGGGTAATCGCGCAGGGGGTACAGGCGCTTTTCGCGGATCAACCAGAGGCAGGGGAGGTCAAGCTAGAAATTCTACCCGCAACACACCCCCTCCTGTAGCGCCGAAGGTAGATCCAGATGCCATGGATATTGATGAACCAGAACCTCAAGCACCACACCAGCCAAACCCTTCTCACATCCGGCTATGCTTTGAGTGTAATCAGCCTGGACATATTGCTAACTCCTGTCCTAACCGCCAGGGCCCGAGAAATCACCCTTCGCGCAACTCGAATGGTCCCGGACCAAGGCCCATGCCTCCCGCGGGTAGGGGCAACGACCATACACAAAACCAGCACCATGAGCGTCTCCCCCAGGAACACAATCAGTTGCCTAATCAGCCCACTAGAGCACCGAAACGGCCGATTGATGGAGAGGGCGAGGTTCCTTCAAAACGCCAACATCTTGAAAATCGGCCAAGCTCGGCCAATCAAGTTACTCCCGGGCCCTCAACGGTACCAGTAGTAAGTCTTCCTTTAGCTAACCCATTTTATCGTGCTGCCCTCTGATATCTAATGCTTAACATAGACGATACGCCCACCGCACAAAAAGAAGGCTCAGCGGAGGTCCGAACCACCCGCCGTGTTTATTAATCCTAAGCGTGGGGGTGGTAGAGGCGGGCGAGGCGGTGGTGGTAGAGGGGGCGGTCAACCCTCACGGCCGAAGGGGTAAAGGAGCCTCAAATGCTAATCTATCAGCATTACATACTCGCTAACCCCTATGCAACAGTAACGACAAACAGGAGGCGGGTCAAACAATTGGGTGAAGGGATGGAAATAAACAGAACTTTACTCATAAATTTTATAGCTTCTTTTTACATTTTTATAGCTCTCGAAACATTGTTTCTATAGGGGGGGTTTTGTGGTGTCGGTTGGGTCTTAGAGGCGTACCAAGCAGCGTTCATACTTTATATCTCACATTCTCATAATCATAGACATCGTATTCCTATCACCCTTACAGTTTTTGTACTGTATATTTACGTTTCTGACTTGGAGGACCTACTCCGACGCCGCTAGGTTCTGGATGCATAGGACAGAGCTCGGATACGGGATTCTCTGCATTTGTAGGGCGAACAGTATTCTTAGATACTTCGTACCCGGGGTTCCGCCATGCCAGGCAAATAACATGATCCACATTTTGGCGATCAATTGGCCAAGTCACCGCTCAACATGTTGCATTTCCAGAATCAGAGAAGTTGTCCGGCACAAAAAAAAGGCAATGTCGGGCAACGAGTCTGTTTTTGCATTTGAAAAATAATTGGATTTGTAGGGTTTTGTGTATGGGGGGGTTGAAGCTCTCTGTTTCCCAGAGCCCGAGAATCTGGCCGAGAGATTTTCGACTTACAACTCAATTGAACATTGATGGAGAACAGAGCCATAGTGGTACCGGCAGAGTACCACATTCTTGCTGTAGACATTACACATATTGGGACTAGCCAAATACTATCGTGGGGGGGGGGTTGGGTTCCAGGAGGGTAGGGAGATAAGTATGTGTCCTACGCACCATAATATTATGTGAAATAGCACAGTTGTATTCGGACAGTTCAGAGTGCGTTTTGGGGCTTGCAGCTTACTGTAGTTGCAGATATGCATACTTGGACAGCACAATGTCTCAGCCCTTGAACCAAATAACATGTTAATGCTGGCAAGCCTCTTATTATCGGTGGCTAAATTATTTAATAGCCTATAAATACTGGAAACCTAACCTGTTCCCGCACAAATGCCAAGCAATTCAACCTTTGTTGCCGTAGCAACAAATGTACAAGTACAGCACAGTCTAATGTTGACAACTGGACAACCGCCTTGCAATTTCGGTCTTGATACATGTCGGACGGTTTATATGAAGCCCCTTCATCCACACTCTCTCCCTTCCTCCAACACCGCACATCTCCTTCGCCGGTCTCTCAACTTACTCTAACAGTTTAATCCACGGGCTTAAACCTGAACAAGTACAATGCCTCCTTTAACATCGGCGGATTACGACGTAATAGGCACTATCGGTACATCCAAAGGCTCCTTGGTTGAGTACTTGGGATGACGCATAGCTAATGGTGGATAGGCCATGGGTGTTTTGGCACCATTCGCAAGGTCAAAAGAAAGCAGGATGGGATAGTCAGACCCCCTCCCCCACTCCCTGGTAGAGAGCCCGCTGCTGATACTTTTGTAGGTGCTCGCACGGAAAGAGATTTCATACGTCAAGATGGGGAGTACCGCGAAGAATCAACTTGCTTCTGAGTTCGAAATCCTCGCATGTCTAGATCATCCGAACATTGTTAAGTACTATCATCGAGAACACATTAAGAGCGAGAGCAGCGTTCATTTGTGAGTTATTATGGCGCCATATACCACCCAGGCCCATCACAGTTGAGTAGTCGTCGCTGATTTTAGTTGTTAGATACATGGAATATTGCGGTAACGGCGATCTTAGTGGTCTAATCAAAAAAGCGAAAGAGAGCGGAAACTCGTTTCCCGAGAGTTTTATCTGGACGGTAGTTACGCAACTTACCACGGCTCTCTATCGCTGCCATCATGGGATCGATCCCCCAGAACTGAGTGACCTGTTCTCTTACAAAAACACGACTCCTCCTACTCCCCGTACCGAGAGTGAAGAGAGAGATTTAATCAAGGTACTCCATAGGGACTTGAAACCTGAGAATAGTAAGTAACACTGACTGGTCTACTGGGAATGTGTTAACTGGTGTGAAGTCTTCGTCATGGCGGACAATTCTATCAAGATCGGAGACTTCGGTCTCTCAAAAAAACTTGCACCAGGAAATATGTTTGCGGAAACCTATGCAGGAACCCCATATTACATGTCTCCCGAGATTTCCAGCGGCCGTCCTTACACGGTCAAATCTGATATTTGGTCTATGGGATGCATTATATATGAGTTGTGTACCCAAGAACTCACGTTTACTTCAAATACCCTGCCTGGCCTCATAAATCTGATCGGGAAAGGAAAATATAAACCGATTCCAGTCAGGTACTCTAAGCGTCTTCGTGACCTGGTCGCTAGATGTCTATCCGTTGATCCGGATAGCAGACCAGATTCGGCAGAACTGTTGGAAGATGAAACAATCAAGGTGTTCCGCCGTGAATTACAAATCTTGGAAGTGAGCAAATTGCTTAAGCGGCGCGAAGAGGATTGCCTCCGTAAAGAAGCGTACCTCGAAGCCAATGCGAAGACCCTAGAACAGAGGTTCATCGAAAGGAGACAGCGACTTGAGCGGGAGATCAACGGGAAGATTAGATCTGATTGGGAAATAAGGGCGGAATCAGTGATAAAGGAGAAGGTCGAAGAGGCGAAATTTCTGATGAGAGGGGAGCTAGAAGCTGAATATCGGGAGAAATTCAACCAAACTGTTGAGCTCGAAGTTCAGGCTCGAATTGCACGGATGGACTTGGTTCCAAGATCTTATGCCCTAGCTGGGGGCGAGCCATTTACAGAATCTGCATTCAACCAAAAGATCGAAGTCGAGGTACAGAAACGGATCGCACAGATGGACTTAGTTCCACGCACTACCAGCCTATCCAACAGTAACTCCCGCAGTGACTCCGGATACGCTGGATCAACAAGTCCCACCAGAGCTAATTTCCCTAATCTTCCCCCTGACTCACCAGCCGATATAATGATGGAGTCACCCTCACCCCATGCAGTTGCTACCCCGGGTCAGAAACTATCTACGGCACGGGTCCTACACGGCCCTCCTCCTAGGATGCCATTCGGTCACGTATCCTATACCTTCGCGGATTTCACTAATACGCTGTCGCATGGAGTTCAAACGGTCTGGGGCAACCAACCGGCAACACAGCCGGAGACCGAAGATAATACGAGCTCCAACCTCTTCGGAATGCAGCCTCTTAAGTCCCCCACCAATGGCCAATTGAGCTTAGCAACCAAACGCAACATATCAACAAATGCCAATGGGTCGCCTACTCGTGTTGCACCTAGAGCGAGATATGGTCTCCAGAGGGCAGAGACGACCGGAGGTGCTGTTGGTTCGGCCCGGCTAATGGCCGGCTTTGGTGTTAATGGCACCGGGTCGACCGACGATATCGCCACTGTCAAGCCAAACACGACGGGTGCTGTTAAGCCCAAGAGTTTGATCGAGATCAATCTAGAAGCTCGGCTGAAGTTCGGCCCGCCGGTCGTCTGGGCGAAGGAAAATCCTGCGGATCTTCCATCCCCGTTCAAAAAACCGTGAGCCAACACAACCTCTCGGTTCCCACAAGTCCGGTGGTCTGGTGTCTCTTTAATGTTCCCATTTCTTACGGCTGTCCTGTTTATTCTTTTATCAACACAGCCTTACACATCAACCAACGTTAGTGGGGCAGACTACGGCCATCACCACTTTTTATCAAAGTTTTATCTTGTAATGTTCTAGGGGTGGAGTGAGAGGAAGGGAGTGGAGTAATTTCTTGGTCTGGGAGATCGGAGTCCTTTCTTATACTAAATGTACAGATGTTTTCTTTTCCTCTTTCTTTTGGGGTGTTTTTTCGGTTTTTTGTATTATTGTATACCTCGTTTGTTCGGCGTTGGGGGTGTTTTATTAAACCCCTCTTTCTTGTCACACTTATACTGCACTTGTGCGGTTGTACGATTTGGTCCCTTTGTACTATATGGCTTGAACATTGTCCTACTTTCTAGGAGTAACTAGGAAATTTATAGCCCTCGAGGGCGAAGTGGATACATAGATGATTGTAATGCTGTCTAGCTTATTTTTTTCCCCTCCTTTTTCCCCCCAGTGTTGGGGATATTAAGGGTAGTAAGTAGGATTGCAAAATCCCATGAATATCTATTATCATATGCTAGTATATCAGTCGTTAGGTATTGTGTGGTACAGATCTGCCCCGGCTTTCGAAGCGTTTTTCGTAACTGGCACTCGCTCGGCACGCATATTTGTGGTTTCAATAGGACCAGAAAGCTCCCATATGACCCCCCACCTCTCTGAACATGACCTTAGCTACTAATCGTGTTACCATGCACAGTAGGTCGACGGCAACACTTTCGAAGCGAAAACAGACGGGAGAACAGCCCTCGACTTGCAAGACAAGACCCAAACCACTCCGCCAGCATACCAGCACACCAGCACGCCACAAATACCACCCACCTCCAACCCTTAACTCCCCGGCAACGTCTCCAACAACCTCAAAACGGCACCTTCATCCCCCCCGACCACCGCCCGTCCATTATTCCAATCGACCAGAAGCGGCCTAACCATCCTCCCTGCCCCTCCCTCCTCCTCAACCTTAAGCATCCTCGCCGCATCGTCTTCGCTCCTCGCACCAGGGACCACCTCCCCAACCCTGCTCTTCCCGGTGAACTCCAGTATCGACGCCAGCTGCGTTGGCGTCGGTACCGTGGGCGCCTCAACGACGTCGAGCTCAAAGGACTTTTTGTGCGCTGCTGGGCTAGAGCGTAGGGTTTCGAGGATGCGCTTTGAAGCGGCGGAGGCGGGGGCGTGGAAGAGGGTTAGGACGTCGAGGGTTTTGCGCTGGTTTCCGTCAGTTTGGGTCTCGGGGGGGAGTGCAGCGGAGTGGAGTGCGAAGGGGGGGGGGTGATACGAAGCGGAACATTGCAGTTTTTGGTGAGTTGATTTTGTGGGTTGTTGATCGTTTGGTGGATTGATGGTGAGGTTGTGGGATGTTTGCGGGCTTGACGTTGATGAGTGCCAAGGTGCTCGTGATGGATGGGTAAGCCTATATTTTCTACCATACTAACTCGCCTGCCATTAGTCTATGGATGGATGAATGGTTGGATAAATGGTGGGATGCAGGGACGTTAAGGTTACAATAACTATATTATTATTAGTACAAGTATACTTGCAGTCTAGTCTAAGTCTCTCTTAAAACGGGTAAATCTAACATTATATTCCACTTCAGGTACAAATGATGTAACTTGTGCGAATTTTGCATCAAATCAATTTTTCTTCTTGCAGAGCGGGTTCAAGTATCGTGCCATCATACCTCTCTAAAAACTCGGTTTAATACTTGTAGCACAAATGATAACACATGGCGCAAAAACCCCCAATTTCTATAGATAGATATCATAATAGCACCCTTTCCCGAAAATCATTTTTTCCAAGACCAAGTTTCCACTTCCGCCAATTCCAAGGCCACATATACGTACCATAAACGTTCAAACGAGATTCACCATCCCCCCACCACATCCGGGACGGCTCTCAGTTAAGTGAGAATAAATGATAAAAACGGGGAGGCCCTTGTTCGGCATGCTGAATATATAACCTACTTTGTTTTTTTGTTTTTGTTTTTTTGACGGAGAAGCACTATTTCTAAAACTTGTTGAATAGGGATCAAAAAAAAAAAAAAAAAAAAGCTATGATACCTACGCTGTTTTTCTGCCAAAAGAGAATTCTGCCATCTAAATAGTACATCAAGTGCGCATGTGTACAGTGCCATATTCCATATTCCCACGATAACCGCTCCACCACACCCTCCACATCCACCTCTCTCTCTCTCCCAAACCCTGGTAATGATAACGATGATATTATCATACTCACATCGAGTCCTCCCTCTCCCCAACCCTCGTAACAAACAAAGTAGTAGGCTGCACATATCTAACCATACCCCTGACCTCATTGGGAAGACTATACTCCAAGCACCTCAACGAGACCTGATCCTTATTCCTGCGGTTGACATACCACTTGTACTCCGCCTTCAGCAGCGCCCCGGCCGTGCCGACATTGGTCTCGACGGTGAGCCAGTCGCGATCGAGCCTGGTATCCTCCGCCTGGATGCCGTACATAGCCAGCCACTCCATCACCGTCTCGAACGTCTCGTCCGTGGGGCCGAGCATGAGATCGAGTTCCTCCGGCTTGATGAACTTGCCGTAATCAGGGCTCTCCGGGTCGTGGGAGGTGAGCACTCGCTTCTCGTAGGCGTCCTGGTCGCGGTACGCTAGCGGTATTTGCAGCGTCATTTTGGTCTCGGCCGGGATTGGATTACTGTGCAGCTCTTCCCATGGAAAGGGCGGGGCGGTGAGGACGTCGAAGGGTTCGTAGGTTAGGGTGCTGAGGTGCACCGCTGCGTGGACCGATGGGAGGAGGAGGGTGAGGAAATTTATGGGATGCATTCTTTCTTTCTTCTTTTTTCGCCCTTTTTTCTAAAAAAAAAATAGGGGGGGTTGTAATGGGTAGTTTTTTTCGGTTCTTTCTTGATGGGTCTTTGTTCTTGAAAAGTGATTCTAGATGAACGGGAAGGGGGAAGGGTCTGTTATATGCTCATTAGGGACTCGGGACACGTATATGTATATATCCCTAAGTTGACGAGTGTTCTCCATCGTGGCAGATTAGATAGATACCGTCATTCATACTCTATATATAGCGTGGTCTAGCGGTTCAAAGCAACCACGATCCCATGAATGTGATTGTTGATAACTCTTTGGGCAATTTTTAGCACCTCACAGTAGTTTAATCAGTGAAGTCTCATACATCACATAATATACTATTGTGTCGCACCCATCCGAGTCACATCGGCAAATATGGAAGAAGTGCCGAGTGATATACCGTGATCCATATATTTCCAAACCAAGGTACTGATGCTGTACGTGCTTAAATTATGAAAACAAATTATAAACTCGATAAAGACCGTGCCACCCCAAGTAGGATACCCAATAAAGTCCTAAAGAAGCCGTAATACATTCCATTCTTCTCGCACCTTACGAATGACCGTTCTGACGGGTACACAAGGTAGCCCCCCACTAAACCAAAGCTCGATAACTGATTCCTGCATTCACTTTATCTACGACAATTCTACCACAGCCATGATAGGGAAGCCCCGCTGAGAGCAAAATCAAGAGTCCACTGCACCCTCGCCAGCATGTATTGAGCAGTCACCGCGCCGAGATATCACTATGGATTCGTTAAAAACAGCCCCCAACAGGGTATCAATTCCATAGAATGTCATGTTAATAATTCCCAGCAAAGCAACCCATCCATCCCAATCAGCCTTTTCCCCTTCCCCCAGTCATAATTCCACAATCAGCTGACTATTGATATCCATTCATCAATCCACCCTACACACCAGCGCCTTCCGAGATCTTGATACATCTCTTCACTGGAGAGGACCCTTTGAAGAAAGGATCCACAAGCAAGAAAGCAAGTTCGAAAATGAAAATGAAAAGGGTGAATTATCATACATTTACCACCGAATCAAACTGGACTGAAGCGTCCCACTCAACGCCTCTTCCCCTTCTTCGGTTTCTCCTCAACTTTAACGGAAACCTCCTTATCCTTCCGCTTGGCCTCATTCTCAAGGTCATCCCAATCATCTATCCACCGCAAAGGCATAGCGAAGTATTAGAGCCATGTTTTTCTCTGATAATAATAAAGAGATATTGTTGGGAAAAGTGAGCAATAATGGGATTCCGATTATGTGAATTTTTTTTCTAGGGACCATGGATGTGTGAAAATGATATAGCAATAGAGGGGGAAAAAAGGTAACATAAACTTTTAGGAGAAAGGCGAATTAATAAGGTGTAATGAGATCATTCCGAATCCTCACCGCCAGATTCATCGTCCGACGCTTCGGAGCCTTCATCTGCACTAGCGTCACCATCGTCGAATTCACTATCCTCCTCGCTACCCTCAGATTCGGAGTCGGAGCTATCGGCTTCGAATTCAGACACCTCGTCTTCCTCGTCATCATCGTCGGCATCAGACTCGACGGAGAGGAAGTTCCATCCACCTACATTCGCATACCGTTAGCCCATATCTGGGTTGACATCAGGACACCAGAGATCATATTACCATCTTTGAAGAACTGATGGGGGTCTGCAATCACGGTCTTCATAATTGTCGGCCAGTTCAAGTTCAACGGGCCTTCTGTGAAAGGAATGTTAGAGGAGTCAAGCCACTCCTTGACGTTCTCAAGAGACTCCATGGGGATGGAATTAATATGAGAAACAGGCCGAGTATAGTCTTTATACACAAAGACCAGGTCAAAGTTTTTCAATCCAAACTACGCAAAACGCGAGGTAAGCCACATCTGATTGCCTCGGTGTAGGGTTTGGGACTAACCTGAACTCTCTCCAAATGGGCAATCTCTATTTCGTCAAGGGTAATGACCAAGAACGGGGGATCGGTAAGTTGTACGAGAGCGTCCGTAGTAGGCGCGCAAAGCACATTTGCACGGAAGGGGACACCATTGAACCCTAGTTCACGGTACGGTATGTCAACGTCTACGCCATTTTCATGCTTCTTCCCGGCTTCAGAGATCTTGTCTGCGAACGCTTTGAATTCCTTATCCAAAAGCGCTCTCCGTCTACGCTCCTCTTGCTCCTGTTCGAATTCCTCTTCGTCTCCATATCTGTACTTCCTCTTCCTGTTCCCAGTCTCGTCAAATTGGATGTCGGTAGCTTCGCGGTAGAATTGAACATCCTTGGTCTTCTTTTTCCCGACCATGATCGGGTCTTTGAGATGAACATGGATAAGGACAATGAGCTCGTGGGCACAAGGTTGGAAGAAGAGGTGTTTAACGTTGCTGAAAAGGACATCAATGCGATGGTCATTACGAACAGGTGACTGATAGCGGAGACCATTCTGGTGAATTTCGACTTCTCCCGGAACACGTTTGCCCTCAAGGGCAGGGCGGACGTAGATATCCCCAAGTCTTTGAGGTCGACGATTCCTGATCTCCACCAGATTGTCTTGGGTTACCACATCCTCCATCTCCTTGCGTTCCTGTTCACGTTTGACAGCATTCTTCTTCATGTCTTGGATAGCTGCACAGATCTCAGCCATACGGTCATTATCCGTGCTTCTATACGTTAAGCTTCGTACAAAATGGGCATTTGGGTCCTCAAACGGCTATTAAAGATATCATTAGCATATCCCCCTTCTACGAATGTACTACAAGAAAGCACTCACCAAATCATCTTTCCTCCCTACACCTTGACCTGGCGAGAGGAAATTGATACGAAGATAGGTCCAGTCGCCCTCATCCGTCTTGCTGGCATTCTTCAATGTTGCAATGTGGAAAGGAACTGGTCTTCCAAAAACAGGCACAATAATGGTTTGGCTCTTGGCGTCTACCACAATCTTAAGGTCTGCTACCGATAAAGGCAACTGGTTTTCGCGTTTATAAGACTCGAATCGTTTGATAGCCTTTTTGCCCTTGCCATCGCCAACCGCATCGCCCTCCGCATATCGAGCCAAACCCTCTTCCTGCTTTTGCTGAGCGAGCTCCTTTTGATGTTCCCTCCTCTTCTGCTCCGCGCCCTCGTCGACCTCTTTGCGCTCTCCCCGAAGCTTAGCTTTCAAAACAGCGGTATTCTTAGCAGGTGCTGGCTTGGGCGCTGGCTTTTTCTCCTTGACTTTTTGCTCCGGTTCTTCATCTTTGAAGTAGAAGGCTGTCTCCTTCAAATCCTTGGAACATCCTCCAGTGAATACAATCGGGTCACCAGGAGTAACTTTAATGGTGTCAGTCAAAACAAGACTATAAACTTTACTCTTAGAGTCTTGTGGCTTCGGGTTCTCCAGATCGGCAAAGCCCACAGTAACACAGAGAGTCATCCCATCCTTGACAACCCTATTGCTCTTAGCAGTAATGGGAGTGGTTGTATCCTTGGCCTCAATTCCAATAATAGAACCAATAGCTTTAAGGAAATGCTTCTCCAATTCTGGATGCTTTGACTTAATAAAAGCAATAGCCTTATTATAAACATCCTTGCAAACAACTCCATCGCGTATTTCGGATAAGACCTTCCATTGGAGATCGACTAGGAAGCTGTAGTATTTCTCTTGGGACTATTATCATGTCAACAAAGAACCCTTCACCAAACCCAAGAGCTGAGGTTTACCTTATTCGGGTCGATGAGAAAAGTTCTTGCAATAGCTGAACAATAACTCTTATAACGCAATCCCATAGTTGACAAAATAATCCCGCCATGAAGTTGGCTATCGTCTGACGTAGCACTTGACCGCAAATCATACCTTCCCCCACTCTGTACCAATGGCCCCACGGTCCAGTCTAATTGTAACGGGTCAAACTATGACAAAAATCAGCCCTCTACGCAATAAATGATAAAAATAGAATGGAGCGTACATCTGGGCCGAGTTTCATCTCTTTCGCTCTAAAGAACTTTTCGTCGTCGATCTTCGCCTCGATTTTCTGCGACAGCTGCATGTGGGTTATCTTCTTCTCCTCGTCGATGATCGTAGACATTTCGTCGATGAAGTAATCCTTCATAATACCGACCAAGGCACGCGAGGAGGCACGCATGGTTTTCTAACCCCACCGTTAACACCCGCTCTTAAGCCCTATTGTAGCTCAACTTACCAACTCCAGATCATCCTTGATAGCCAAACATTGTGAAATAGCGGGACTGACATCGAATTCCTCTATGCCCTCAATTTCCGCGGGGAATATTTTCTTCCAATCATTGACGAAGGGACCTTCAGCCTTGTCCTTCATGCAGACGCCAACTTTTTTCTACACACCCAGGGGTAGTCAGTTTCAAAATCCCACTGGGTAACCGAGCAAAGGGAGCAAATCTCACCCCCGATTTCTTGATGACCTCAGCTAGGTCTTTGAAGTTTTGAGTGTTCTGTGCCTCATCCTTTCCTCGTACCAGGATTTCAATCGGGAATTTACCACCCTTCAGAGTTTCCAGATGTTTTGCTATACACAACGGGAGCTGTTAGCCAATTCGCCACCAAGACATCAACACCCGCTGTTATTGTAACACCAATTAAGGAAATTTCAAGCACAAACATTTCTTGGGCGTAGTCACAACATAAAATTTCTCTTGGGTAACGACAAAGAGCGTTGTTGGAAACTCGTACCCTAGCAACCAGAACTGCACAATTCACGTAAGCTTTGGAACACAAAACCCCTCCGCAAAAACTAAAGCGGAGAATGAACAAAGCGATGATTAAGGGACGAAATGCTCAAAGAAGACTTACATGCAGAGCAAGACTCTTCGAATAGGGGCCCTCCACAGTCTTCCCCAATATTATGACAATAGAGCCAACACCACCGAACAAATCCGCCTTCTTCGAATCCTTCCAAGCCGCGACCAAGCCGCCCAGACGAGAGTGAAAGAGCGACTTGTCTATGCTAACTTCATCACCCATGACTGGTGGTAGCCTCGATTCTTCTGAATATCTCACCTATTGACGATCCCGAGCTTTCAAACAGCCGAGCAGTGTTTTCCGACAAAAAAAATGAGAAGTGGATGTGTTTGGATGGTAGGACGAGTGAGTTGGAAGAGAGAAGGCTGTCACTGAGAAAAGAGAGATTAGGGATTCCCTAAGAAGTCGCGTCGGTCGCCAGGAAAAATTGTCTTGGCAGACGCGCCCCTGTGGGGATTCCCTCTACCACTTTGGCTGACTCAACAATCAACCTGACCTTTATGACACACACCACCGTCTTTTTTATCCACCGACCGTTTATCAAGATCACAGAGCCTAACCTCTTGCTCCCCTTGATCGATTGAACAAACAGACGGACAGACGAAGGAGCGATGCCTGTCTCAGCCCTCCAAGCTGTCTCGAAGTCCCGGAATGGTGTAGGGGCTTTTATTCTCCAGTGTAAACGCATGGAATTCAATTTCTGTGATTGGGCTGGGAGCTCAAAAGGGATGAGGCACGTTCGGACCTACCTAATACCTCTTACTCCAACCTCTCAAACATCATCCAATCTAACTCGGTATTTCTTTCCTAACTGAAGGACAGGTCGTTCCTAAAACATTCACTACCACAATTTGCCAAAGAAAACCCGCAGATAGAAATCATCGTTGCCCCACGACCCAACAAAATACCGATAATCCGTGGCGTCTATAGTACTCCTCTCTTTCTCCATTACCACCCGCCGTCTTTCCCATAGATAGCTAACTACCACTAGTCAATGGTCGTGAGAAGGTCATTGCGGTCGATGGGTTAGAGATTCAACAAATCCTCCAGAAGGCACAGCTTCTCCGAGACTCCTCCGGCGCAAAATTGAAAAGGATTACCAAGCCAGTCATTTCGTTGAACGAGAGTGTAAGAGGAATGTTCTCGCCATTCCATGGGGAGAAGCATGTCATCTAGATGGCGGATATTTGGCGCTCCATTGCACATAATTTATTATTTGTATAATATATTTTCAAGTCTATGGCATCGTTGAGGACAATCAGTCGTCCGCACAAACACACTTTCCATCTATTGCCCTAGGCTTACCAAGGTTTCCGGATCATGAAGTCGAGCTCGAACTGGGAACCCTTAGCACTCTTCAAATACTATCGCCTGTAATTTATTATCATGCGGACATATTCCACTTAGTTCTAGCACCATTGCACACCTAGCTTTCGCCCTCATCTGCCGCCTATACCCACGGATTACATATGGTACCATAAACATTTTTGAACGCTTATCGTACTCTGGCACGCCCTCCTGGGAACCCAGCGGAGAACTTATCTCCCTATTCACAAAATATCACTCGCTTACTCCGCCCTATTTTCTAAATCTCCTGATAAAGCTATTAAAACATTGCGAACTGACACGAGAGTGACGGGAGAGGATAAGATAGCTTTGAGCCATATATTCCGGACATTATCAGCTCCGGACTCTATAATAACTCCTCCAAGAAAGAAAGGAAAGCATAGCCCGCCTCCGGCTCTAAAACTCAATGTCAATCTTCGTAGCCCTTCCTCTTTCTGCTCCCTCACTATGCTCACCCCCCTCCTCATCCATAGGTGGTAAACTATACGCCTTAATCTCAAACCTTTTTCTAGTGACTGTGAAAGCAAGGTCCTCGCCACTCTGCCCACCGACACCACCACCCTTCTCTCCGAGCACCGGCAGTTTCCACATCTTTACCAAACCCTGTGGAGCCTGATCCTGGCCCTTTACATCCTGCAGCTGTGGGAGGGGTGTTAGTTCTAGCACCCCGTCCGAGAGCACCTCAACCCATCGGACAAGGCTTGTATCTCTGGGGTAAAGCTCGAGAGGAAGTGAAATCATGAGAGTAAGGTTTGATGAATGCCGGCGAAGAAGGGCTCGTAGAGAATGTAAAAACGGTAGGAGGTGCCTCGGCGAGGACGCAGAAGGGGGATAAATCAATGGTGACAGAAGGGAAGGGATAATTATTCGATGGAGGATAGTGGGGGGGTGTTGGTTGATGATGTTTGTGAGAAAGGTGAGAATCGGTACGAATGGGGAGGTTTCAGCGGCAGGCGAAGATAGCGATTGCGATGGCGAGGGAATGAAAGATATTTCCGCTGCCGGGGGAATCGTTAAGCGCTTTGTTAGGTCGAAGGAGTGGCAGAATGCATGTGGTACGGTGGATGTATCAGGATTCCTAGCCTCTTTGGGGTCTCGTCTCGTGAAGCTTTGGGCTGTTTCACACCAGTTAATCAATTTATCGAGAACAGTTCACAAATTTTATATAGAAACAAACCCCTACTCCCACCGATCCCGCTTCCAAACTCTCCCAACCTCTCATACCTCCAAGCTATCTTCATTCGCTCTCCCTCTTTCAATTTCCCACCACTCTCACTATCTGTTTTCTCTGCATCACCAACTACAGCTGGCAGATCCCTCACCCAGTTTTCCCCAAATCCTATGACTGTGATTGCATGTCCTTGGACAATTCCTTCAGCAGCATAGTACCTCAATAGCGCTCCTCCGAAATCCGTAGTTCCCGGCTCTTCAATCAAAAGCGAGCAGCCTAATGGTAGCCCTGCATGACCAGCAAGTAATGAATCCAATGACGGTGTCCCTGTTGAGGTTGTATATTTCCCGTTAATGGGCGAGGGCTGAGCACCGGGTGGGGGTCCCTTGAGTATTGGTGGGATGGTCGGAGGTATCCCAGGCACAGTAGATGTACCTGGGGGGCCACGATTTATTACCAGGTTTTTCTTGCGGAAACTCATCTGTGTGGGAGGGAGTTGGGTTTGTAGATGGCCAGTAAATATTAAATTTATATAGGGTGTATCGTGTAGTGGGGTTACAGTAATGTACCAAGATATTCCTACGGAGCCGAGAACCAAATTGTGGATGACCACGGTTACACACCATCAGAGGCTCAAATCACGTGACCATTATCACGTAAAATAAATCTGCCTCAAATGTGCTTGCTCCCTTTCTTCTCCACAACCAACCTGTCACCCCATCAGAACCTCTCCAGAACTCCGCTGATCTCCGGCTCTACCAACACAATGAGGTGAGTACCGCCCTTTCCAAAACTCTCTCAATATACTATGGCCATTATTCTAACTACCCAGCGAGTCGATTCTCTTTGATTCCACATTCCCTATTACTGGGTTCGACCAGAATAAATACGACCGTGTCGCTCGCATATCTGGGGAGAGAGAGGATCTAAAATTCTCTCTTGATATCCACGTCGAGCTCTACCCGGTTGCCATTGGCGAGACGGTTCAACTATCCCTCGCATCCACCTTATCTCCCGATGGCGCAAAAGAGGACCCAGCAGAGAGCAAAACCGGCTGGAAGGAGAACAAAGCAGCGGAGCCGAGCCTTGCTGACACCTATGACTACGTTTGTCATGGGAAGGTGTATAGATTCGAAGAGGGAAATGGGGAGTTCATGTAAGCTCAGATGCCTCTATTTCCTTCATGATGCTAATAAAAATCGGGTGTTCAGCAAGGTATACGCCTCCTTTGGGGGGTTGCTTCTTTTTCTTGAAGGCCCTCACAAGAAGCTGTCCTCAATGAGACACGAGTATGTCTACTTACTCATGAAAAAGTAAACCAGACATGTTTCTAAGCAAAAAAAGAAAAAAAGGAAGAAAAAAAACTGTATACTATCCATCATAGCACTCACTAGTCCACGGAGTCATCGTGGCAATCTCAAATCACTACGGAGAAAATACAGTCGTTTTTTCTCAGAATACCTACGGACCCGCCCCAATCTGTGTGAAACGAAGTACGCTCCTCCATGGCCCATAGCGTGTGAAATTGACAGATCACCATGTTGGGAATTCTAAGCGTCTATGTAGACGGGAGCCAATTTCAAGGTAGTCCGATTCGTTTTCCGGAGTAATGATCCCATGACGAATGAAGAAGTCCTGGAACCGTTAGCTTCGCGCACAACGTGAGGACGAATTTTATATATTTCTACCAGAAGAACTATAGAAATAGTCAGCCTTAGCTAAATACCTAATTTAGCCCCGGGCTGGGTTCATACCTAGGCTGCAATTGGGCTTGAAACTTCCCTTTGCCAATTCGGCTTTTACCTACTTCGGAGTCAGTGAAACCTCCCTCTAGCCCAAGACATCGCCTTTCGGACCTGCTCCATGTCCATCAAGTGAAAATCTTGCACCTCGTCATCGCATGGTTTCGGGATCACATCATTCCCAACTTCCAAGTCGTAAACATACTGCACTTCGGGCTGCAAAAGCCCTTCCTCACCGCCAGCGGTCTTCATTCTCTGATAGAAATAAGACACATTCCCAACAGCCTTCGCTTTCTCCCTAATTAAACTTTCCGGGAAAGAGGCCTCCTCTTCAGATTCTTTCACCAGGGTTTCAAAAACTGACATTCCAGAGGAGATCCCCCCAGCAACAGTATTATCCAAGAGACCGCCATAGGTAGGCTTTGCTGGGTTACGACGGGGGACCCATATTTTCAATGGGCAAGTAGTATATGCCGTCATATGGACCTACACATTGTTAACTAAATGCCAAAATCCGATGGACCTTTGAATACTCGCTCCATAGGTAACAACTCCGAACAAAGCACAAGCACTCCTCTCAAGCCTAAAATATTCACGCCCCTTAGGACTGTAGACAGTATATAGTTCGTTCCTCCATCCCCTCAGGATATCAAAAATACCATTCTCTCTCCATGACTCGGTAGTCTTTCGGATATTCTCTGAACGCTCTTCAGTGGTTTCACCGGTCAGAGTAATAACCTTCCCGGCAAACCTCCAGTGCGTGCCCGAGAGTTTAGCGTCTTTTAATACGGCTGTAACAGACGGGAGGATATAACCAAGCGTGTGTGTATTGTGAACGAGGATGGACAATTCCCCTAGGCGCTCCGCGTGGGAAACAGGGTGTGTAGCAGCGTTTGGGAAACTATCCACCAAATTGATGAGATCGAGATTGGAGTAGTGTTTAGAAGTCATAGTGATGGGGATATTGGGTTGGTAATTCTTGGGACGATGCCGGATGATGTTGTTTACAGGGAAACAGGAATAGGGTAAGTTATTATATAAGGAACTAAAGCGAGTTTGCTCAGTACGTAGTAGTCTACCCGAGTACGGACGCTGCCGTGTCGGTGTCTAGCCTAGAATTACCAAAATTTAATAGAATATTTACTCGGGTACGGTACTGTACGGTATACCGGTAGTATAGTACCATGATACCGGGATGTAGTCGGTATGAAAACCCCACTTTGCCAGACGACCCCACCTCAACACTTATCCCCCATATTCCCATACACTCCTTGCTCCTCATTCAATCTCACTTGCTGAGAGGAGGGAATCAATCCAACCAATGGCTCCAACAAAGTTGAACGCCGCTATCATAGTTGTCTCAACAACAGCGTCAAAAGATCCTTCCTCCGATGCATCCGGCGACCTGCTCACTGAGTCCTTTATTGCTAATTCAAGTGCAGAATCAACTACTTGGAAAGTCGTGGCACGAAGGATAGTTTCCGATGATCGCGAAGAGATACAGGGAGCCCTAAAAACCCTTTTGGAGGGTCCGACTAAATTGAACCTTATTGTGACGACCGGTGGGACAGGTTTTGCCATCGCAGATATTACGCCCGAGGTAAGGGATCCAATCTCTCCCTTTCTCCAGATACCGGTACTGATAAATTGGATAGGCAGTGAAGCCGTTCTTGAAGAAAGAGGCTCCAGGATTGGTGTAGGTTTCATATCTCTCGCATTGTCCCCAGAATGACTCTAAATCGCGACTACTCGAGTATAGACATGCTATGCTCTCAGCCTCACTTAATATTACACCATGTGTGTTTCCCAGCGTTCAAACCCTGTGTTCTACTAACGGCTAAACTATAGTCTCCATGATGTCCCGACCTGTCGCTGGCGTTAGCGGAAGCACTATAATCGTTACGCTCCCCGGTTCACCAAAAGGCGCCACAGAAAATCTCGGAGCTCTCATAAAGTTACTCCCGCACGCCTGTATCCAAGCCGCTGGGATCCAAAGTTCCCGCAAACTTCATTCCGGCGGTGTTGAGTCTCTCGAAAAGCAAACCGGTGTTTATAAGTACGATAAAACCCCCCCTAAAAGCGATAGCTCCCATGGTGGCCATCACCATCACTATCATCATCACAGCCACAGCCACAGCCATGGCCATGGCCATGCTACCCCTAGAGCTCATACCAGCGCTGAGTCGAGGGCCAACAGGCTTGGCGATGCTGTCACAAGAGGGCATAGAGAAAGCCCATATCCAATGGTTACAGTAAAAGAAGCGACTGACATTATTGCCCGGGAGACGCAATTAAAGGGGATCGTTGAGGTTCAAGTCAACGAGGACCTAGTGGGCTATGTACTGGCCGAAGATGTTACAGCTGTGGAGAGCGTGCCTGCGTATAGGGCAAGCATTGTGGATGGGTACGCCGTAGTGCATTCGGACGGGAAAGGAACTTATCCCGTTGTGTCTGTATCTCATGCTGCCCCTGGTTCAATTCCTCCTTTGGCCTCTGGCCAGGTCGCTCGAGTTACCACAGGAGCACCCTTGCCGCCCTGCGCGACCGCAGTTGCCATGGTTGAAGATACAGTCCTGAAATCTATGACCGAAGACGAGAAAGAGGAGGCAGAAGTGGAAATTCTGGCAGACAGAATGGAGGACGGGGAAAACGTTCGCGAGGTCGGTAGTGATGTTATGAAAGGAGATGTTGTATTGAAAAAGGGGGATATCATATCTGCGATCGGCGGAGAGGTTGGATTGCTGGCTTCTGTTGGTAGAGCTTCGGTCAAGGTATACGATAAAGTCACTGTTGGCGTATTGAGCACCGGGGATGAAGTCGTTCACCATTGCCGGGAAGGAGAACTGCAACTTGGAGAAATACGGGACAGTAACCGCCCAGCTCTTTTAAGTGCAATCAAAGCTCAAGGATTCTCAACAGTTGACCTAGGAATCACAGGAGACAAGACAGGAGCACTACAATCAACGCTGATAGAAGCTCTACAGAGCGTGGATGTGATCGTCACGACAGGAGGTGTATCAATGGGAGAGTTAGATCTTCTAAAACCCACAATCGAGCAATCCCTCGACGGTACCATCCACTTCGGAAGGGTAGCAATGAAACCGGGGAAGCCAACTACATTTGCTACGGTTGAATCGCCTAAGAAGAAGCTCATATTTGCATTACCTGGGAACCCAGCCTCTGCTCTTGTCACTTTGCACTTGTTTGTCTTACCTTCGCTCAGGAAATCTCAAGGATACGAACATTACGACTTCCCCCAGGTCAGAGTTACAGTCGACGAGGATATGGGACTTGACCCTCGTCCAGAGTTCCGAAGGGCATTCGTTAGATTTGACATGGTAGACGGGAGACTCCATGCTAGTGGGACCGGTGGACAAAGGAGCAGTCGTATCGGTAGTGCCCATGGAGCGAATGCGGTTCTGGTAATGCCGGCGCTGAGGGAAGTTAGTGAGAAAAGGAGGGAGTTGGGGTGCATTCCAAAAGGAGAGACTGTTGACGCAATTTTATGGGGACAAATTGGCTGCGCTTAGGGGTTTCCAAGATCAAAGGGTTTTGTTATTATGACAATATGCTATTCGGAGTGAAAATATTAAGTACGATATTAGAGTGGCCAAACAAAACCTTGCAAAAAAATTTAGACTATGCGTTCCAATTGCCCTCCAAGGCCAAGATTTTCAAAATCCTTGTATGTGCACTGGACACTTTTCCCCGCCCTAAGTGGTCCAAAATTCAATGCAGGACCGAACCGCCAAATGCCCAACCAGAAGGATATCCAGAGCCCGTCGGAAGGGAAAAATCGCACTATTTGAAAGCTTAAGTATGATACCTCTAGAAAGCGCTGGAGTTTAGAACGGATAAAAAACGAAGCGTCAAGAGCTTCAAAAATTTCTGAACCAATTCGCACACCGCACCTATGAGTTAGACTGTCGAGTGAGGATTTGTGAACTTTAACGGCTCTGGAAGTTTCAACTGTCACCACTCTGTATTATGATAGCAGAATCACAGTAATCATGTATCATACCGGCAGCACTGGAGCCTAGATATTTGATTGCTGCCGCCTTACTGTAGTTATGATGGGTCGGTATCATAGTTTTACGGATGTGTGTGACACCGTAGTATTTTCTTCCTGGTGGGAGCTAACTTGTTAGGGCGTGAGATCCGTTGCAACCTAACTCGGATGGTACGAGTGCATGGGCACAAATTGTAAGTTATGGTGCACATCAACCAAAAAACGCAGCAAAATCCAATGCCTGTTCCACCATAACTTATCATAGTTTGGGCCCAAATACCAAAGAGGCTTATTTATGTTAGTCAGCGACTGCCGTGTCCTTTTCTCGCATCCTTTTTCTCCTCTTCTCCCTTCCTTCTTCCATGACAACAACTCCCTTTACTCTTCCATCATTTCCAGCTATTTCTCATCAGTCTCGACTTCTGCCCTCCTTCTTAGTGGAAGGATATCTCTTAGTCGATCGTCTTTCTTCTTCCGCCTTTTCTTCTTTTATTCCTCTTCGCACTTTTACGAACCCTTTACGATTCCCTTCACCCACCTCTATCCTATCTTTTTTCCCTTCTAAAAACACCAACCTCTCTTGACGAGCATCATGTCTGGTGAAGAAGATCTCATTGACTACTCCGACGACGAGGGTCTTGATGCCACCAAAGAAACCCCTTCCGTTGCCGCTAACGGGGAAGCTGCGGCCAAAAAGGCTGACGTGACTGCTGCCGCCGGTGGTCCTGCTGCCGACAAAAAGGGCTCTTACGTCGGCATTCATTCTACTGGTTTTCGCGATTTCCTTTTGAAGCCTGAGCTGCTCAGAGCTATCGTCGACTGCGGTTTCGAACATCCTTCCGAGGGTCAGTTTTTCCTCCTCCCTACATCATGAAAGCAATATTACCCTCTTTTATCACTCCTGTCTTCTTTCTGCATACTACGCGTCGCGTCTTCGTGGTGGTCTTCTCGTCGTCTCTCGTCTGGGTAGTGGTTACATTCTCGCTTAGCTCTGTGGAGCATGGGAAAGGGTGGAGAAAATTGAGGCCAAATCACCTTTGTTTGTGATTGGTGTATGCAATCACATTCAAGCGGTAAAGAAAGTCGCCTTGCTTAACGATACCCGAGGACATCGTCGCGACTTTTTTTGTTTCGAACTGTGGTGTATCGAGACGATTGAGGGATTCATGTCATAGCCACGAATGGTCATGAAGGGAAGCCACGTCCGAATTTTCAGAGTGGGAGGAGACAGAGATCGACGAGATAGACATACTTCTGCACACTCATACGCATACGCCTTTGCATTTGATTCCCAGTCATCACTTTTTACAAAATTCGGTCGGGGGTTAACATGAATATTCGGGTTCGTTCTACAGTTCAGCAAGTTTGTATCCCACAGTCCATCCTCGGAACCGATGTTCTATGCCAGGCCAAATCTGGTCTTGGAAAGACGGCTGTCTTCGTTTTGACTACCCTTCAACAAGTCGATCCAGTCCCTGGAGAGGCATCAGTCTTAGTCATGTGTCACACTCGCGAACTCGCCTATCAGATCAAGAACGAATATGCTCGATTCAGCAAATATATGCCTGAGGTGCGGACCGCTGTCTTCTACGGTGGCACGCCAATGCAGAACGACGTTCAGGTTCTCAAGAATAAGGACCAGCACCCACATATCATTGTTGCCACCCCCGGACGGTTAAACGCTCTTGTCAGGGATAAGCACTTAAGATTGGGTAGTGTCAAAGTATTTGTCTTAGATGAATGTGACAAGATGCTCGAGCAAATCGGTTAGTTTAGAACAGATTTCTTGCTCACTTGCCGACATCCGTGGATTGCTGATGTCTTTCTTTGGCTCAGATATGCGTCGCGATGTTCAGGAAATTTTCCGGGCTACTCCTCAGCAGAAGCAGGTTATGATGTTTTCAGCCACACTTTCCCAGGAGATCCGTCCCATCTGCAAGAAGTTTATGCAGTCTCCTCTTGAGATCTATGTCGATGATGAAACCAAGCTCACTCTCCACGGTCTCCAGCAATATTACGTCAAACTTGAGGAAAAGGAGAAGAACAGAAAGCTCAACGAGCTCTTAGACCAACTTGAGTTTAACCAAGTTATCATTTTCGTCAAGAGCACTATTAGGGCCACTGAGCTCAGTAGACTTCTAAACGAGTGCAATTTCCCAAGTATTGCGGTTCATAGCGGCATTGCCCAGGAAGAGCGGTAAGACTGTCCCGCCATTTCGACAAATCCCACAGCGTAAGCTAATTCAGTACAGCATCGCTCGATACAAGCAATTCAAGGAATTCAACAAGCGCATCTGCGTTGCTACCGATGTCTTTGGCCGTGGCATTGATATCGAACGTATCAACTTGGCGATTAACTACGATCTCCCGGCTGATCCAGATTCCTACTTGCATCGCGTAGGACGTGCCGGTAGATTTGGAACTAAGGGATTGAGTATCTCATTTGTAAGCTCTAAGGAAGATGCTGAGGTCCTTGACAAAATCATGGAGCGTTTCGAAGTTAGCTTGGATGAGTTCCCTGAAAGCGGAATCGATTCTAGCTCGTGAGTTTCCCTATTTGATAATCAGGACACGTCAACAGTATTTATACTAATCAACTCTAGTTACATGAATACCTAAATTTGCTGAAGGTTTCCTGTGTTTGAGTGCATCCTGTTGGGATTTGGGGGGGTTTTTTTTTTTTTTTTCAAAAAAAAATTAGGTTCTCATTAATAAACATACGATTGGGGTTTGGAAAGGTGCTTTGCACGTGGGAAGATCGGTGAAACGTTACCTAAGCATCACTATCCTTTTTTTGTTCATCTAGGACACATTCTCTTAATCGGCCTCGAGGCAAATTGAGCGTTGGTATTCCTGTTTTTGCTACTAGTTTATCTCGCTCCGTATACTTCATGTACTTGATGTCTCTCTTCATCTCATTTACTTTTTTTTTTTTTTAAGCTGAGGACTACAATTGATTCAATAAAAAGCTTGTTAGTGCTCACGTCTGCGATGTCAGGTGTCCACGAGATCGTTTCGCACACATAAATATTAAGATCACTGTTATGGTCTCATTCGAAATATGGTTATCCTACTGCATGCTCTCTTGGTCCACCTTTTGCGACTTATGTTTCCCTGCAGTGCTGGGCATATTGTAGTTTTTCCTGTACCTTGTGAGCGTCGGTTAGCAATATGCTAGCATACGACAACATATAGTTTCTAGATGAACCATTTTCGCGGACTATATCCCCCCACGACCTCTTTAGAGCTAATCCTCTTAACTCCTTTTTTTCTCGGATTTGGATTGTTATAGGTTGTTCAGAGGTGTGGTCCCGATGGGAGGAAACCCAAGGTTTGCCTTCAGTGCCGTGCATTGGGCCACTCCACCTAGTCGTAAAGCTCCAAGTTTCCAAACTTCGGCCATCAAAACACAGCAAGAGTGGATATTTTCGCTCACACGAATTTGGCAGACGGCCATTCAGTGTACGGAGGCGATGCTCACCAAGTGGGTGGAGTTTTCAGCGGAAGTCTAAAGATGTATGATAGCCGGTTGAAATCTGGAAAACGATGTTCTCGGGGTGTACGGAAGCCATCTATTGACTTTGTGAGATTGGTGGAGCTTATATTAGACAGTGGGGGGTTGTGAAATTTGGAGTCTGGGCGCTCTCACCGCCCAGGATTTATGGTTACTTGCCGTTGGGTAGCCGTCCGAAGGATATACTCGATTCACACTCAGCAGAGATCTCTCCCATTGGCGGATCTGAACAATAGCGAGTGATTTATCGTGAGTAATCTGCTCCTCCCCCAACGTCTCGAGCCGTTTAAGCCTACTATTCCAATAGTTAAGGTCTGCAGTCTAGTGTTTGCAAGTGGCTAGTCTGCCATCTGGGGGTTTTATTTATCCAGCCGGGCCAGACCTGACTGAGAATATCTGTGGGCTTGCAAGCAATCGGGGGGTGGTGATTGCCCCTGATTTTGAAGGGGTTTTTTTTACTGTGTCTGTATATTGTGTTGGTTTTAAACGCTCTTATAAACGCGTCGCTTCAAGTATTGCCAAGAGTGGTAGACATCATGTCCTTGATATGCTAGTTGGGGTGATGTGAAGGAGAGCAGCACAAACTGGCTTACCCGGTAACAGCATGAGATACTCCCGTAAACCCACAGCGCCGGGAAAACTGACCCACCCGTGCAGTTTGCATAACGGCCCTGAAGTCCCTCCCTGGCCCTCTCGCTCGTCGAGATTCTCCATTGATTCTAGGGGTGTTGAGTGCTTGGGGGGCCATGTCGTGGAGAGGAGTCCATAAGGTTAAAATGTTGGGGGGTTCGGGGTCTGGAATGATACTCAAGTTTTGGGAGGAAATGGCTCCAAAATCAAACAGTACAATTGTGAACGTGAGGGGAATTCACACATTTGAGCAATGCACGCGAGACGTAGGGAATTGCGCAGCACCCGCACCATTCTCAATGCTTTAAACGTATCGCATTTTTTATTTTTTATTTTATTTCTACTAGTGCCCCATGCTTGAACCGCTGGGAGATATTACATCTTGTGGGTAAATATTTGCGAATATCCTAATATATCTGCTACTCATTGACAAAATATTTACTGACACGCCGAATGACTACCCTCCAGGCGCCCAAGAAGCCTGCAGGCTCTGGACAACGCGGGCCTACAGATCCCAGGCCAGTCTCATCTTGACTTGGCTTTTCCGCACTGTATACCTGCAGGGTGTCTGCGGGCGGGACTGGCCGCCTGCGAACACCTGCTCGTGGGGGGCCAACGGCGATGAACACACGGTATCCATGTGCTCAGAGGAGCTATAGGAGAATATACCTTGGAATACCGTCTCCTCTAGTCCTGTTTCCGGATAATCACTTCTAGCAGTTTCGCCCTCCAAACTATCAACCCGCGCCTGCTGGGTTTTGTGACGGGGGGGGATCCCAGGCCAGCTACAATGCTTTCAGCGAGAGTGAGAGACTAATAAAACAGGGTGGTGGTATTGCACAGCTTATCGTTTTGGTCGAAAGAGGACTGCAATACACACTTCTCCTTTCCTCACACCAGTCTTGTTCATCCATCGCCTGCCGGTAAACGATGCCTTGAACTTTCTCAGCCTTCTCTTTGCCAGTAGACTCTGGAAATCATAGTTGTGTGGGGCTTGCAGCGCCTGACAACACTCGGCCACCCGTCCCGCAGGCGTTGACCAGCACCAGTCAACTTCTATAGCTAAAGCAGAACGCGTGAAAAACAATTGTCTCCTCGAACCATTCTCAACTGAACCTGATAAGTAGGATGGAATGGAAGGAAGGGGGATGGAAAAAGGGAGGAGTGGGGACACAACCAGCAGGTATCGAAAAAAGTTTCCCACAGGACGAGGTCCAGGACCATCGAGGCAGGGCCTAGTGAATTATTTTAGATTATCTTCCCCTCCCATGGTGTCTCGGGAGATCTCTGCTATCGACTTTTGTAATGAACCTATCACCGCCCCCTCTGATAAGCTGTAGATGTCGGACGAATGGGTATTACAGCCTTGGTTTCGGAAACCCCACTCCTTCCACATTACTCTGAGGCCTTAAGCCCCCCGTTACGCCGGCCAGATTTCCCCCGTGCCTCCAGGGGAAGACTACATAAAGCGAATGGTCTTCCCCCCTTCCTTCCTTTCTGCTTTTATTGTTCTCTATGCTTTTTCTCGTCTTTATATAATTGGTTTTCTCCCCTCTGCCCACCCCTTCCTTCCTCTTCACCCTCTTTTGCGGCATTATATCCTAAGAGGTCTGTCTTATACCATTCAATGATTTTAAAGCCTCTGCAACGCAGAAGAAGAAGAAATTGGTAACTTAGTTATATGATTGACCATTTCGCCAGCTCCAGACCTTACAGGAATTAGCGTAACTTGGGCTCATGGACAATTAATTCGCGCCCAGATGCTTTTGAGAAGCATGGGATACCGCTTCTTGGAGCGGTGGCTCTAGCAAGTTGACAAATTACCATCTCCTCCCAGCCCCCCTTTCTCCTACCTTCTCATGTTCAAAGCGCAATTGACATCTACCAGCCTATTGCTATTACTACCAGCGATACGAAATCCAGCCATTGCGACTCCTACCTCTTCGTCACTATATGTCTACTATTATATACCTACTATTAGTTGGTAGGGATAAACGCCGGCCTAGAGAGACTCGTCTTCACCTCTATCGCCTATTTTGTAGCATTGGAAAGTCGGAATACCGGTGTGCTACCGTATCCTACAAGACCTCGAAAATAACGCCTGATGAAGACACGCAAGATATCTAATCGTCACTGGCCGGTATATGGGCTGGCAGGGACCCACTCATAACTATTAACGATGCTGCGAGCGTAGCAAGTGTCGACATAGGTCATAGAACCTGAACGCCAACCGCTAATTGGGAGAGGGGGGAGGTGGAAAGACCCAAAAGGTCATGTGAAGAGGGGTCCAATGGGGGAAGATCCAGAAGGACAAATATGATACGATACGAGGAATAAGGACACACAAGGACACACAAACTGAAAACCGCCCCCCCCGGGGGGGGGTATACATATATATCGTACTCATGCATACCGATCTGTTCCGCGAGAGTTCGGGAACCCAGCGGACGAAAGTTACCACCTTGGACGAACAGGCAGAGAACGAATCACCCAACGGGTGGGCAGTAGGGGCTGTGGAGGCTACTAGAGGGATCCAAGACTTGGTCGACTTTCAGACTCAATAATAAAAAGGCCCTGCCTGAAATCCGAAATTTGGATTGTCTAGAATACAACGCAGCTTCCCGGCGGAATCACGGGATATTCCGGGCATATCTTGAGGGTTTGATGTTTTATCACCCCGCTTCCATTCTCCTCTGCACATCTCACTCAGGACTCCCATATCGACACTCGCAGCAGTGCGAATTCGAGTGATAATTATCGAAGGAAAAACTCATGATACGCGCGACGAACGACGGTTGATCTATGGCCCTAGGGGCTACAGGGGTCTCTACTCGAGTACAGAACATTCTCTCCCCCGTTGTGCCCTTATCATCAATGAGGGCGCTACATTGCAGCTTAGCTTAATAAATAGCGCCCAGAAATACCCGCCTACGCTATGCGAAACACTCAGTCAAATTTAACCTCATCATTTCACTCGCTGTGTGTACAAGTACCAGTCACCTTTGACGACGTCGCTGTCATACAATCCGAGAGAGAGGTGGTGTTGGGTGCTTAACTCAGGCACCCAGCGACTATTCAGCGGACATGCAAAACATTGAGATATCTCAGTGACATTCGGTTCAAGTCAGGTGGCGTATCGTCCGGGTATTATCCACCACGCCTAAAGTTGGGCCTTCAAAAGAGAGAAAAAGGTTTGCAACATAAACTGCGTTCCGGGGTGGCCCCACCCTCACTGATTTATAGCAGCGAATAACAGTAGCCTTGGTAATTCAGGGGGGGCGATTGTGGAATATCCAAGCTGACAATATAGCCTCCGACACTCGACAAGAGTCCGACTATGATACCAAGGCTGAATGTGCTGACTCTCACTCGGAATCGACTCAATCGAGTATCCAGCCTGAGCCCTGGCTGTCGTACATCAGCCCCTTTCCATACAGTACTCGTATAGTATCACCTCACCAACCGATCGACCGACCAATCACCAACCACGAGAAAATAAATGTAAGAAAAGGCAACCCCGTCTTACGGTCGGCACCGGAATAATCCAACCTCAGCTAAGAAATCTAGCCTTCCCCTCGGAAAAAAAGCATGGGGAACCGCTCCCGAAACAAAAAAAGAAACCCCCCCCCCTCCGCCGAGACGGAGAGATTACATTCCAAGGCCCAGCGCGAGGTTCAATCAATCTTCCGGTCCTTAAAGCACCTTTACCACAAACCGAGTGACAATACATGACAAACACCACCCCCCCGCAGAGCCCCAGACCACCCAGTCTACCGTACCAACCACCGACAGCGAGGGGGGCAAGTGCTGTGAACTGACGGCGCAACAACGCCCATTTCTCATCGGAGATCTCCACTGATTCATAGGCCTACCATACCAGTAGACTTATTGTACCGTACTTGTACGAGTACTTTAGTCAACCGATGCGCCGTGTGCGAGCACGGTACCCGAACCCCCAGAGCCAGGGTAAGAGTGAATAGGAAGGGAAAGAAAAAATAACGTTAGACTCTGTAGATCTAGTGAATCGCGTGGGTCTGGTGGAGAGTGTACTCCTACAAATATTCTTCGACCGGGATGTCGCATTGCATGGTAGGATGGGGGGGTATACGCCGGGGATGTCGTTTCGGTCGGCTTGTGGTGAGTAGGGTAAATTTATTTTTGGGATGTGAGTATGGAGTTAACCTACTTATGTTGCACGGTATCGCCCATCTTTTCACTCATACGGACGCGGGTTTCGGTTCGGTCTCTCCTTCCACTCGAATACCCTATGATATCATAGAAACGGAAATCTAAATTAAGCGCAAGCGACAGCGATTACACGCAAACATCCACGGGCCAACCTCCTCGCTCCCAGTCCAGTAATTGCCAACCTCACACATCCTCATCAAACATCACACAAAACTCCACCAAGCGCGTCCCCACACACCTAACCCAATGGCCCACAAAAAACCAGCCAACTCCGCACAAGCCCCCCCGCGCCCCCACCTCTTCGCCCGCCTAAACTACCTCCACCAATCCGCGCATCTCCTGCTCACCTCCGGCTCCCCGAACCTCTCGAGAAACCTGGTCTCCACGGCGCGCACGGTTGCGAAGAAGACAGTTATCAGGTTCGACCCATCGGTGAAGCGCACTTGGTGCAAGCGCTGCGACGCGGTGCTCGTGCCCGGCGTGAGCTGCGAGCACAGGGTGGAGAATCTGAGTAGGGGCGGGAGGAAGGCGTGGGCGGATGTGCTGGTTGTTAGGTGCTGGGGGTGTGGGTGTTTGAAGAGGTTTCCCGTCGGGAGGGGGGGAAGAAGGGGCGAGAGCGGGGGGAATGGAGAAGGTGGGAAGGCGCGGGAGGGGGAATGCAATGTTGCGGGGGAGGGGAAGGGAAAGGGAAAGAAGGTGAGGGTGAAGGTGAAGGGAGGAGAAGTGGGAGATCCTACGGGTTGAGGGTGCATATCATGAATATCACTGCTTCTAATAAAAAAACATTCCGGTACCGTACTCGCCAAAATCAAGTACAGTATAATGACTACCCAATTCGGTATCGGTATCGCAGCTACCCAGCTCACCCCTGACGGCGTGCCAGCCCAACACTCCTCGCTAGTAAAGGATACAAAACTTAGGTGCTGGACCTCCGTAGACCAGTATCTCTAGTAGTGGTGAGAGGTTACGAGAAGCAAGTGAAATTCTTACAGTCAAGTTGTGAAAGCGGTTGGCTGCGCATGGGTAAAGGTCGGGTGAGAGTTTTGATTTTGTCGGGTATGATATATATGATAAGTGCACCATCCGGGGAACTGACCGCAAAAAGCAACGGTTGATTGTCACAGCCACGCGGATACAGTATACTAGTATATACAAACTCGATCCCCCCAGCTCCTTGCTCCCAAGGCTAGGGGGATGGGCAGCTAGGAGAATGCGAAAAAAAAGAGCGGGACCACCAGAAAGAATATATTTCCGAATGGCTCCTCCAAATAAGAGGTAAAAGTGAAAAATGGAAATGAAGGAAAAACCGCCCCCCATCTCGAAACCACGCATTCATATTAATGCCGATTTTCCCCGGCAAAAAGGTACAAAGAGAGTAGGTACTAAACGAGGCCATTTGGAGGTAGGCGGGTGATAGATAGACGGGCACAGGTAAAACCCAAGTATGCGCTTGAAACAGCAAAGGAGAATCGAAAGGAATAAGAGGTTGAGGGAAAGGTGAAAGAGGCTGATGATGTATGCCTGGACAACAAGGGGATAAAAAGTAGTCGTAAAAAAACTGACGATCGACAGAAGAATAATGAGGAAACAAAGAATAAAGTCCAGTGAGTGTGTGCGCCTTCGGCCCACCCCATTGCCCTTCACCGCAACTCTCAATGCCAAATACAAAGCAAACATAAATCGTAATAGGTTTCCATTTGCGCCAGGCATCCTTTTTTTTTTTTGTGCTCCCCACCTGTCTATCACCCTCTTCGTACGAAATTCAAACTAAACTGCAGAACCGAACCCCACGCGAGAAAAGAGGAGAAAAGGAAAAAGAGAAAAGAAAAGAAACCCAAATACACACTTGCCATCGTTACTTGATGAGGAGGAAAAAGGACAAAAGGAAATATCTGAGCCCAAGAGGTTGAGGGAAGGGTACATAGCGACTAGGAGCAACGCTTAGCTGAATAAAACTAAAAGATCCACAAGATATGACCCTGAATGAAACCGTGATATTACACCCGACCCAGAAGATATACCTCCGTAAAGTAGACAAGAAAACTGAAGAACCTATGTACGGAAATTGCAGTGCGGATTCGCTGTGATCCTGTCCACACTAATGCCTTTCAATTTCCCCATTGCCTAACCTCAATCCCAAGGAGGCGCAGATAGGAAACATATTCAAATTAGGAAGAAAAAAGGGGGAGGGGGAGGGGGGCAGAAGTATGACTGGGGAAATGATAAAAAAACTAAACCTAAAAGGTAAAAACACGCAATCCACAAAGACTCTTTTTTTCCGTACCCGAACTTTTGAACATCGACGTGCTGCACCCTTTTTTCTCCCCAACATGAAAACCAACCTTCACCACACACCCCGGGAAATCTATCGAACCATCGTTTCTATCCTCCGCCCAAGACTACTCGAACTGCTGGAGGCTGAGTGTTCAGCGCCACTGCTGCCGCTGTCATTACTCGCACTAGCGCTAGCACTGCCCGTCGTACTTCGATCGCGGTTACTTGGCGGACCTTTTAACGGATTGGTTTGGCTTACCCCGTTAGAAATCTGTTCGACCTGATGCAGCAGTCCTTGACCTTCGAGATATCTTAGAGCAGGCTGCCTCACCGGACCATTCGGAATGGGGCTATACTGTTGATAACCGTTAGGTCCGTAGCCATTCGGGGGATGGCCATTTGATGGCCCCCTATAACCCCGCTGATCTTGGGGGTATCCAGACCGAGGCCCATGGCCATTAGGTGCCCCAGGCGGCCCGCCAGGTGGCATGGGTGTTCGGCGGCCTAGCTGTTGCGGTGATGCCATTGGGGGATAAGGACCACCCCTCAAACCCGGAATATCACGTAAATCTTCGCGTTGACTCGTCATGGAATTCGCCCGTGAATTATCCGACAACATTTTCCGATCCACGTGACCATATCGATCTGACGAATAACCAATCAAGGGGTTGCTCGTGATCGGCTCGTTCAGGCTCGGAATATCATTCATAAGCCTCGAACTGACCCTACTTCTAGGGCCGGGCCGATGAGGAGCCATCGGATGCCTAGCGCGTCCTGGTTGCATCGTAACTTCCGCATCGTGTCCTTTGAGATTGCTCGCACTAGGTAGCCTTCTAGTCCGTCGCGAAGTGACGCTCATCATGTCAAAATTTTCTGGGTCAATGGGAGGCATTGGTGGCGGCGCTTCGACGTACATATCATCGTCGTCGCCATCATCGTCATACACGCTTCTTGAGCGGCTCTTTCCCCGACCCTGCTTGCCCATCTGCCGAATGCCAAGCTCCTGCTCCCGTAAAGCCAGCTCTCGCTGCCTCAACGCCAACTCCCGTTCCCGAAGAGCAATGTCGCCTCCATTGTATCCTCCCCCAATACTCCCAGCATATGCATTACCCATTTCATCACCCACCATATCTCCGTACAAGGCGATGTGCCCAAACTCCTCTAACGATACCTCTCCATCCATAGAGTTCCTTCGGGAGGGTGTTGCGGAGGGCGGCCTCGGCGAATATGACCCATTTCTTCGAGGGTAGCCATTAGGATGTAGGCCATTTAGTAGGCCATTAGTCGGTAGGCCGTTGAACTGAGGCGGGGGTCCACGCCTGGTTCCCATATGGTGGTCAGGCCCAGGCCCGCCTCTGGGTGGCGGCGGTCGGCGATTGTTCGGCATTGCCCCATTCGGCAGTTGACCAGGGGGAGGTCCCGGAGGACCGCGCATTTGCCTCGGAGCAGGTTGCGTGATTGATGCTGATGGTGACACGGGGGGTTTCGATTGGGCAACTGTCTGTATATGGTGAAGCATTGTATACAATGACTGACAACAACCAGCCCTCACCCCTACCAATTGTGCAAATTTGATCGGTGAGCCCAGATACGATTCAATTTCCATTGGCCTTCGAGCAACAAAATCTTGATAGAACATTGACTGCTGTGTTGCTTGTAATTGGGTGTCGATTGTCCGTTGTTTGAAATCCTGTGGAAAAGAGCAATCTTGCGCTTTCGCAATCTCCATGAGCTCATCGATGATATCCGAAATTAGCTTCTTAGCACCAGTTTTCTCCATCAATTGCCTGTGAACTGGTGTTTCCAGTAATACACTTAATGGCTGAAATGCTATTGGCCTATTCACTCGTTAGTAATGTCTCTTCAAGTGGGTACAGTATCCCGAGAGCTTACCCTATCATCCTTTCCCACTGCTCCTGTCTGATATTTGTAGAGACATGGCATTCTACTTGACCAGACGCCAGAGTTAACGCCAGAGCTTCCGCCATATCCATTTGGATGCTCATTGGAATGCTAGCATTCTGGCTCGTCGAACCCAACCAGATCTCCGAATTGCCCACGTGCTCAAACTCGCTCGGGCCAAGTTGGTTAATGTTTGCCCCAGCTACAAGCGATAGCACGATGTTTGTAGGATAGCGGGACTCTAGGTAGGCCTCTACTCCCAGACAAGATGTGGTATTGACAACTATGCAAGTGTTTTGTGGCGTAACAACAGACTCGATTATGCTTCCAAGATCATAGACGTCCGGCAACGCTTTAACGCACAATATAACATAGTCAAACCCTGCTGGCGAAGTAGCAGCCTCTTCGGGAGTCCGGACAACTGGTTCGAAGAATCAGCACCCGGTAATCAATCAAAGAGTTCAAAGTTTGTACCCACCAGAATGTAGTTTAAACCTCTCGTTGCCGTACTTGTTTGATCTAAGAAAATGTCAGCAAGTCATACAAAATACTTTCCCTATACAAGCAAAAAACAAACTTGAAGGAAATCCCATATTGGGATACAGAATCAAATCCCGACTTCCAGACTAGTGTAACATCGCAGGCGTGTGTGGCCTGTAACCTCCACGAAAGAAATGCAGATACGGGATTAGAACCCACTAATTAGTTTGTTAGAAAAGTCTTTATCCAGTCTATCCCCCCCCGAAAGCGGGACATGCGACCCACCTGAGAGTATTCGCAACCGAGGCGCGGCAGGTGCCATGAGTACTGTTGTTGATGAAAAAGGGAGAAAGTAGTCCGGGAGGAGATCGGCACCGTTATGAGAAGTCCTTATTAGAGACGTTAGGAATCCAGTTGAATAGAATGGTTTCCCTTTCTATGGTTCTAAAGGAATGCCGGGACTCGTCAGGGGAACCAGGTTGCTATGCTACGGCACGGAAGGCGTAGAATAAACAAAGAATCCGATGTAGGGGCGGTGAGTGACGAGAATAGAAGGAATGTAGGAAAGAGAAGCTCTCTGTAAGTAAGCAGACCGGGAAACGAAGGTGAGCGGGTGAGAAGGAGCGAGCGTGGAGACCTTGATGGGGCGGAGGTAGGGAGGGACAGGGCCCTGTTGATTCGGCCGTTTCACTGTCGATAAGCCGCCAGAATGAAAACGGGGCGGTAGCAAGCCGGAGAGTGGTTGTCAAGCTGCAATCCTGCAATTATGAGGGATGCTGCTGCCCAAGAGAATGACCCAGCTCCTAATTGTTGGATATCCGACGGAGATGGTAGTAGGAGAGGGAGGATGAGAGCGGAGGGGGGGGGTGGATATTAGGTACCGTAGTGTGTGAGCGCAGGTAGGAAGAGGTCAGAGACCAGGAGTTGAACGAGAAGGGGAAAGCTATACAAAAGATCTGAGGATGTCTACGACAACCCAAAGCGAGGAGGAGGACGACGAGGAGACGGTGGGGGGATCAAAAATAATAATAATAGCGAAATCAGCTAATAATACATGGCTGCCCAATCGCAGATCACTTCACTTTTCCTCCCTCTTTTTCTTTTTTCTCTTTCCCCTTTTTCTTTTTTTCTTTTTCCTTCTCCCCTTCCCTCACCTTGCCTTCTCTGGGCGCAGCAGCTTCCTTGCCGTCGAAAGGAAAGAGAGCGACAGGCGACACGAACAGAACCCAGATACCGGTTGTGAATGGATAGCATATCTTGGTAGCCCGCATCTGCCGTATTTCCATCCATACATACACTTCACGACGCGAGAGGGGAGAAATGCAGGCAGAACAACGAGGAATCAGTACTCTCTGGTCATTGATATTTAATTAAAAAGGCCAAACGAGTTCACTAGTTATCTATCCCGGCTGTGGGCAAGATCAAGCCTTACATACAAGTGCTCTCTAGGGCCCCTGAAGCGTCCACCTGCCTGCATTATTCTCTTAATAAAATAACCAACTTGCTAATACCGGCATCACGGCTTCCATATCAGTAGCGGCACAGTACCGGTACAGCAGTGCAATAGTTCCGTATTCGGTATTAATAAACAACCCAAGCCTGCTCGAGTGCCCAGAGCCCATTCGGTGGAAGGCGAACGGAGATTGAACGGTGCGTGAGGGAATGCGGACAGGCGTTTCTGCTATCCATGGTTTCTGGATGGGGCATCAAACGTGCCCTTCTCGCCCCATCGCTGAAGCACCAGTACAGTATCATACTTGTCCCTTGTTGTGTTGTTTAAAGTTTGTATTTATGATAATATATGCGCTTTATAACGGGACAAGAAAGAGCTGGTTCTGGGGGAGGAATATCGAAATACGATACATAGCACACTGCCCACTGAAATCATCCGAGTCAGTCTAGTTCTGGGGTCTACGAAGCCACCCGCACACCAGATATGATGATGTATTCGGGCGGAGGTAACTGGGGAAAGGAACGATCAGAGGGGGTGTTATTCTTGTAGGCACTTGCCCGTCGGGAGATGGGTTGCTCGTAACCCTCGAGCAACAGGGGCTCTCTCGTTCATGGATTGCTTGGTCGAGCATCATCCGAGCAATTTGGGGGCAGGAGAACCAACCAAAACCTGGACACTGGTATCTCCTGCAATTCCTGCACCTCTTCGATTTGCCCCTCAAGTCTACAAGTGTATCACAGCGCACACTATGGCTACAAAGGGGTTGTATGATGTTCGAGGAGTACTGGCATGCAGGTAATTTGCCGTATCTACTCGAGTACTACAGCACTGTATGTCTCCGCTTCAGAGAACGGCAAACCAGCGATGGCCCCGCCCAAGATTAGACACATTCAAACACATGTCCATACAACCGCATCCAGCAGAAACACCAAGGTTTGACACCAAGAAATATCTCTGTCTCTCCGACCCGCCTTTCCCATCAAAATACATTCACAATCTCCTTCAACTTTCGAGAAAATCCACAGAGGGCTCAACTTACGGTAGTAACCCAGTTCGCTGCGAGGCAGTAAACACTCGCACGTAAATTTAGAGGGTCCGGAGTGAACTGTGCGCTGGACAAATAACATATGGAAGCTCTCTCTGCTTGTATCGAGATTGACAAAGCGACGGAGGCAAGACGTCATCTCAATGTGAACAGTGAACACACCGACCAACGAACCCCTACAACACTTCTGCAAGCCACAAACCAAGGGCGAGAATCACATCTTTTCTCGCTTGCTTCTTCCAGGCTCCACTGCCGCAGCGGCTACCGGTAACAGATTTCGGGGGACAGTCTCACAGAACCATTGTCCACAGCCGCGAGAGAACACGGACAAAGTATTTAGATCGGGGGGTCGACGCGACCGTGGTGTCTTTTTCGTGGATCCGGCGCGGGATCCTCAGCCTTGCCCGGATAAAAGCCTCCATCAACGTCCTCCTATTTACTCCTTGTGTTACTGTACTGTACGAGTACCCCTATGATACATTGCCAAGCTCGTGTCATCATCGCTTGAACCAGGGTTGTCCAATAGAAAGCGTATTGTACAGTACGAGGACCAGCCGTTGGCGTGAGACCATCCCTCATCCCTGTAAGCCAGCGAGTCGCTGCCAATCTGGCAGTTAACGGGCGTAATAACCGACGAATTACGGCTTCAGCTGAGGTCCCAAACGTGCCGCATCGAAAATATGGCTGATGTATTGTTACCGTGTTACCCAGATCGGGGTCACTTTGGCATAAATTTACCGGCACCTCTTCCCATCCGTCTACCCAACTCAGGAACCTCTCATGAGTAGGCCACCAGCAGAGTTTGCTATCAACATGAGAGTTTGTCCGAGGGCACGGTATGGTACCGTGCCGGTACCGAGTGCGAGTAAGTTATAGCACTCATACATATCCCCGACCCAGGAAAACTTTCCCTTCCATTAACTATTTTTAGGAAATTTATAATCCTAGTCGAATTCACATTCACCACAGGCACCCGGGAGTGCTAGCATCCGTCTACGGTACGCACTCGAGCGCCGGTACCTTACCGCATCTATCTCCACCTTGGGGGAGATCGTGCTCCTCAGGGTAGGACGCAAGGCACCTGCGCGTCAGTACTCTGGACCACCCAAGACAAACCTACCGCCAAGTTGCATGCTGCACGAATGCCGGAATACACCGCCAGAAATTTGCACTCAGACTGCGAAGCACATTCCCTATCGGCACTTTCATCGATTCAACTCGTGTCGACCAATAAAATACGACAATATTGGGCAGGATTATTAAGCCTCAAGTTTATCGTTCTGGTGCTAGGGTTCTCTCGAGCTCCGGCAAACTCGCAGGAGATCATGAAAAAACTTATTTTTAAACGACCCTGGAGAGGTCATCCGGTCGAGCCATACCCGACCAAAACGTGGGCGCTGAAGCCAAAGGAATAGCCAAGGCCCATTCTCGAAAATTCTCTGGATGATGGATTCGGTGCCCAAGTGATCTAGTGCACCCGGAGTTCTGCTACTGTGCCATACCATACCCTGCCTCGAATTCTGGACAATTCGGCTATTCCTTGCTAACCTGGAATTGGTCAATCTAATTGGCTTAGGAGGCAGATAAACCATCCTGAGAATTTCCGGCCATTTTTTCCTGCAGGAACCAGAATCATCCGTCATGCTGTCGAATTTCTCACATCGTTTAATCCTCCAATCACCTTGACGCATTTTTCCTATCTCCTAATGAGGCCTCCAGTGCATTTTAACAATCGGGGCTTCCGGGTTGCTGTGGGGTCACGGCAATGGTGGTTTAACGTTCCAACGCATGGTGTTTATAGGGCCGTTCAGGGTGCCCAGCCCCGGCTCCTTCAATTCACGAATATCACATCCGTACAAGGGCCGAGCGGCGTTGGAATAACGCGCCGCAGGTTTCACGCATTCTAACTGTGGAGAGCCCGAAATGAGTCCGGAAAACAATCCCACCAATTAAGGGTACTGTGTGGTTTATTTTTGGATCAGGGATCTACTTGTACTAGTATCTCTGCGGGATAAGCGAGGGAGTCGTAGGAATCAGAATTAAATCACCAGTCTGCACTCGGTTATGTGGTTTAACTCAGACTCCATTCTTCCGGGATGCAGAACTAGTGCGGCGATTAAGCACCTTTTCCTCCTCGCCGAGGAGGTAAACCATCCCAGTAGATGACCAACCCACTGCCGTATGATAGTGCGCGAGTACGCGAGAGATCATAGTTTAATTGGTAATTGGGTTGCTCACCCAGATATCATAATATGATAAGACCCGTATAACCCTAACCTTCCAACACCCCAGGGGACGGATAGGCTATCATACTTGTGATAATATTGATAATAATTTTCATTATAGTGCCGAGAATAACAGGGTAGCGAGAATGACCACCTTGCTCTGACGAGTTAGCCTCCTTTCGTTCAAGCTAAGCGTGGTATCATACCATAATATTATTATTATCTCCTCCAAGGGAGGTATTGACTCTCACTATCCTATCATTCTCGGCACCCTGTCAACTACCCGTAGTCCACTCGAGCAGTCTACCGGTAACATCACAACGACGAGAGCACGGCGCGGCACAATACCGATGCTGGAACCCAGGTGTTGTCTCACTTCATCCTACAAGTAGGCCACGTCTCGCATCCTTCCTGTGGGTACCGGTAGTCTACCTCAACGAATACAACGAATATGATAGGCACTGGTTGAACACCACGTTGCATTCCGACTACACTATGGTTAAAGGCTAAGTGAATAATGGCCGACTTTATTACTCGCACTCTCTGCATGTCCTCGAGTACCGGTAGGTTGTCGGGACATGATAAATCGATAGGCCAACTAGGAACTGCTGCGGTACGGCACCAACTTGTGACATCACTTATCAGCCCGAACTTGATAGGTGGGGTGGCGCTCCGGCCGGCGGCTTATGCCCAGGGACATACCGAGTTTTACTGCGAGTTACCGTTAATTCTCTCCTCTGATACCATCCCTGACGGCATTGTGCCTGAAAATTCGCAGCTTCACGGTATCACATCATGCCTACCGTATCAAAGGCTCCTATCTCAAGTGCTATTAATCCACCGGTAAGGGGAGCGTAGATTTGGACTGCCTGTCCAACACTGGGACAATAATTATTAAAATTAGGATTGGAGGGCCACTATGATAACAGTATTAATTTTTCTAACTTGAAGTGGGTCTTGGCCCTGTGTTAGGCGATTCCGTCAAGGAGATAGATATCATACGGTATCATACCAACTTTGGACCACTATGATGTTGGTGCGGAAAGGGGTGGGGGTTTTTTATTTTTTATTTTTATTTTTCTTTCATGGGCATAAGCAGATCGGTAGATCTGTGTTCCGGGCATCACTCCGATAGAGACCACTCCAGGGTAAGACGAGGGCCATTAAAAGTTCCAATAAGTTAAGAAAATTGGTGATCAATCTCTGGTCCCCCCCAAATTTTACCTACTACTGTACTTGTACGAGTACTCGTACCTTACGGCAGCAGCTCCTGTTACGAGACTAGTGCGCGTCCAGTATCACAACGGCTACCGTGCTTTCACGGGTTACCACATCTACTCGTACATACTCGATTACTGAAGTCGAAGGCAATGTTTCATTTGAAAGAGAGAAGAAAAAAGGGCTATATCTCATTTCTCCCCACGCGTGCCCTCCTCCACTGTTGATGTATCACCGCGATAAGTTTGAATTCCGGAGGTGCCGGTAACTTACCCCTTGCATGTTTCTCAAATACTTGAACTGTATCATACTCGAACTGCCGGTACAGTAACAGCGTTGATAATTCATGAAGTGTAGGGAATAAGCGGCAAAACAAGCTAAAAATCTCCGAATACTCGAACTCGTACAGTATTGCTCGGGTACCGTAGTGACAAATCCTCTTCAAGAACTCTGACCTTTCCGGTTTACCGTTGGATCTTCGTATTAAAAATCTTTGGCTTTTTTTTTTTTTTTTTGTTTGTTTGGAGGGGGCATCATATTAGGGGGCAGACCGGTCTAAGGGATGATGCTCGCACGAGCACCAGTCTTTCGCGGCTCCCCTCTTCCTAACCTAACATAAAATATTTGGGGCGGCCGTGAACCCGGGAAACTCGGATATTCAGCTGTTTCGGAGACGCGATCGCTGCAGGCCGAGCGTTATGATAGATGAAGAGAGGATGATGGGGGGGGATGGAAAGTCGTGTTCTGTTCTCTCTTCCTTTCTTCCCAATGCATTTACTTGTATGATAGGGTAGGAATCATTTAAATTTAACCGGAGTACCGGTATTTCAGACCAGAAGAAAAAAAGACATTAACCCTTGGGTGAGATACCCTTTGATTTTGAAGATTTGGTGTGGGTGGACCCAAATTCAGCAGCCCGGTTATTATCTGTTAATCTCACTATGAGGGCAGTTAATCTATAGGAAACGAGGAATCGGTATCTCACCAGTAATTAACCAGACATGTGACGGGAATTCTCACATATTACTAAGCAAAGTGGATCATTATGGATGGTCCGGTTGAAGGTTGCTCCCACAATGATAGGCGTGGGTAGCACATCCCCCTGTTGGTGGCTGACCTACCGTGCGTCAATACGGCAGGGCCGTTCGATTGGCTCTGCGGAATCGCAACGACAGCATCGCTTGCTTTTTTCCATTTTCCATTTTCGTCCCCAATTCCGTTTGTCTGGTCCAAAAGGGCAAACCTGTCTACGGTAGTCTCGTCTCGCCCCACTTTGTCGTTGATTGACAACTCACCAAAGCCCAAGACTCCTCACCGTGTCCAATTCCCCTGCTCGCGAGCGTGGGGTGATGAACACCGGTAGGAGTGGGAACCAGATGTGCGAGTGGGGCGGCAGGATTTCGCGGCAACGGCAGGCAGGTCCGGCCGAGATGGACTCACTCCGACTCGCCATGATGGAAGGGTATCCCGCGCCGGGATGTGCGGTTGGGAGGTATTTCGCTTGCTGGCTTTTTGTTGATAAATGGGCTCTTCTTCCTCCTACCGGTATTCGTTTGTCGAACCGTCTTTTTCCTCCCCACCGCATGCATCCACACCCATTGTTGAGGGATGGTGGATGGCATGGTGGCTTTATTTGCCTTGCCTTGTCCCTGCAAATGTGAGTGTAGTCTCGTGGGCTCTGGGAGTCACTCCGGTGACGTGCCGCCTGGCTTTATTTCGTGCTTTGTGCGGGATGCGGGAAATCCATACTTGTACTATAGCTTTGTTCCAAGATATCGAGACCTGATCCTAGCGAGCATGTGATATCACTCGTTCTGCTCTTTCCCTCCTACAAACCCCAGAATGTCTTGACTTTTGCGCGAAGATGGAAATAAGTACTCACCGTACCATATCCTATTGCGCTTACGCGCTCCATGCACGGTACGGTTAGAGCTCTAATACCCTGATCCTTTGACCATAGAGCTAGAGCATGACACGATAACCTCCACCCACGCAAGAGTCCCGCGTCGCCGCTAAGGCGCAATTGGACATACCCGGATAGAGTGCTCCAGTTATCCCCGCTTTGATTTCGAGTTGACGCTATTGTAGGGTCTAGCATCGTGTATTCGAGCACTGGTAGGGTCGCTCGTACTTAGATGGGGGGTTTCCTTCCCATTAGTTTGCCGGTTGGTTCTGGGATGGTTAGAAGTGGGTGGTTTTCGTTGTTTTCGCTAATCGTGCACTGCAGTGGGTCGTCCGGGGCGCTTCTCGCCCCTAGTATTGCTAGTTTGGTGTGCGGGTTGGGTTGATTGTGGGTAAATAGGTTGTGGCATTCTCCTCTGCCCACGGGGCCAATGCGATGCTCGTCGTTCAAAGTACAAGTACGAGTACTCGCACAGTAGACTATCTTTTCTCGATCCGCTAGGAGGGTCTATGACACCAAGTATCACGATATCGGTTCGGTGCTCCCTGCCATTTTTCTCTTTTTTTTTCTTTCTTTAAGCCGCATCCTCGATATCAACCGATACACGGTCAAGCAACCCATTTCCTCCTCAAAGTAAACTATCGCCCTGATTTATGATAGGAACAAAAGACCAGCATACAGACAGACACTGTAGCCATCCTCAGAATTCACCTTACAAGTGCCTTATCCCATCGTAGATTATATCCATCGGGGGTCTCGTAGCGGGGCCACCTTTCCAAAATTTGCCGACCAATTACTTGTATGCCACAAACTTATACCATCGACGAGCCGGTTTGAGCAAACCGCGCATGCACGAGTGGATTGAATTTAAAGCAAGGCCGTGTATTGCGACGAGACGAAAACTCGCATGAAAAGCAAACCTGGACATGGGTGAATCTTGACCGTGGCTGTCCGGGCGGAACTGTAGTCTATCGGTCGGTCAACATGACGTTATCAATTCGAGTACGGTACTCGAGTAGAACTATCAGACATCTAGACTATACCATCTTGAGCTTTCTCACTGGTAGTCTAATGCTCTACTCGTACACATCACGGGTTCAACGGGTAGGGGAGGCTGGGTGGACTCCATCCGCGGAATAATAATAATAATAGTAATAATAATAATAATAACAGATTTAAATTTACATGGGTAAGCCAGTTGGCCGAGGAATAATAGCCCTTCTCCAGGAGATCACCTTAGCCCCTAGGAGTAGTGTCATTCAATTTCCAACAATTCTCGGCTCTTCGCTCGGCCAACTTGTTCGGTCGCGTCGCGTCGGGTTGGGGAATAATAGTATATGCATCGCGCCGAAGGGTAAATTAAATATACTATAGTAATGTCCTGGCCGCGATGGACACCGCCCTATATAATGGCAAAGTTCGCGAAACAGAAAGAAAATGGTATGGTATAGCATTGGTGAGCTGTGGTGAGGCGGTGAAACTCCAAATATTACGGGGTAAAAGTCTACGAAGAGTAAATTGTAATTCTCAACAGACTGAAGAAATTTTTTTTTTTTGAATATCAAACCTTCTCGAGGATGCCACTTTTTCCCAAATGTTCAATTGTGATATTTCCGCCTACCATTAATTGACGATACTTTTAAGTCATAAGACTTGTATAAATGCCGACGGACGGACCGGAGGAGTTTTCTTCTTTTTTCTCCTTCACAAATGCACCGTAATGGTTTCTCCGAATTCTAGAGTTTGGTTGTGTGTATGACATCTGTCGTACCCCATGCCGAAGATGTGACGCGCGGGGGGGGGGTGATCTGGTGGATGGGAATATTTGCAAGTCTGCGGTTTGGGATTGGGTTGGAAATTATATAGTGGTCCGGGTGGTGTCGTGCTCCGGGGCGGGATGATGTGGGATTTGCCCGATGGACCTGTGGGGGAGGGAGGGAGGGTTGGGCTTGATTGTCTTGGGAGTTACAATTAGTTCTTACAAAGGCGGCTCAATTCGGAGAGTGTATGATATCGAGCTCGCATCTCCACATCTCGAAATAAAACACGATTAGTTACCCTTCTCACGGCAAGGCTAAAGGATATACTCTAATGTACACCCCACACTCACGATATATATATATACAAAGCCCTTATTACGCCTCCTCATCAGGGGCCTCCTCCATCTCCGCTTGGAACTTTGAAAATTCCACATCCACGTCGGGTGCAGCGTTGATCCTCTTTCTCACAAACCCTTCCTCTTCCTCTTCTCCGTCCCCATCCCCATCCCCTCCTTCTTCCTCTTCACTTCGGGTAGCTTTCCCAGCAAACGTCTTTCTCTTCACTGCCGCAGGTACAAACACAACAGCCTCCTTCCTCAAGTCTCTAAGCACGGGCGCAGCAGAATACGTAGTCTGCGCAGGAGCAGGAGAAGCCGGTTTCTCCGGGAGTTGATGTGCGGTCCTGGGACCCCGGGGCCAGGCTCTCGTCGTCGTCGGCAGGGGCGGAGGAGTGCCAGCGGGCATAGGAATATCGCGAACAGAGGAGGACGTGGATTCTCCGGAATCACTTTCTTCCTCCTCCTCCGCCCCCTGTTCTTCCCCCTTCTCTTCCTGTCGGTGGTGGTGCTGGGGTCTGGGGGGTCGTTTCTAGCGGCTGGAATTAGAACTGCTTTCGTGACAGCAAATGAGTAGGTGGTGTTACCTCATCCTTCTTCTCCATCTCCCCAGCACTCCTCTTGACTCCGGCGCGTCGGTCGGGTACCGCTGGCACCTTCTCGCCTCCGCCGCCGAGCGTCTGCTTCGCCTTCTTCACGGCTGCCAGGTCCCTCTGTAGATCCGCCAGGAGCTTCCGGTCGCCAGTGCTCATATGCCCACCGCCCTCTGCTATTGCTTGAAGCTCATCGATCTGCTTCTGGATTCGGTCGGGATTCCGTCTCGCGAGCTTCTCCGTTCGGAGTTTTTGCTTCTCTGCTTTGCCCTTTTTCACTTGTTTGGCCTTTTCTTTTTTGTGCCAGGCTTGCATTTTCTTTTTTCCTTCTTTTAATTTTTTTTTTCTCGGTGCGATTTATCTCCTCGTATCGAATTATAGTAAGGAGGGACGACACGGTAGTCGTGGGAGGGCGGCGGCGGATGGGGAGGGGCTGTTGTCAACTCTCCAGGCGAGATTCAGACTGGTTGTTGAAGTGAGGTTGAAATTAGGTTGTGTCGGTTGGAGCCGCATTGATCGGCCGGGTAGTTCCGTTCCGCTTGTGGGGTCCGTGAGTGAGTTTTTGTGATGCCTTGCCGAATAGGGAAATTTAGAGGTTTGGCAATTGTGGGGTTCTTTTTTACACTTGACTGCATACGGGCAAACCTGGGGAATGATTATGGTGGTTGACTCCGCTTCTTCTTTTCTTTCTTCCTCTTCATTTCTATTGTGATGAGCTTATTTGACAGCTATGGGGCAGTTGACTTGCGCTATTTTTGGGCATATTGCGCTCCCCTCGAAGACCCCACCAGTCCTACTAAAATAGCGACATGGATCAACTACAACTCACTGGCCGTAATCATGGGCGCTTCCACTTCCTATAGTTAAATCCAGTGCTGATATTAGCGTAAGCTCTTTAAGCGATGTTTATGAGCTGTACTATATACTCACTTCGCGCCTCTCCCTCCCACAGAGCGTCTCAACGAGAGTCAAAGCGAACAGCAATGACGTTCCAGGTCTAATATTCACCAGTAAGCCTCTGACCCAACTCTCAGCGGAAGTCTTGAAAAGTGTAAGACAAACCCTCTAGAAGTAATAACCTTCCCATCGAGGACGACTTTATCCTGAGCATACTCCCAGCCTGCCTTAACCACAGCCTCCTGAACGCTCGGATGGCTCGTAACCCTTGCCTTCCATCCGCCCTCGGCACCAAATCTCACGAGTGCTCTGACCACTGTTAAACCGGTTTGCCCCAGGTGGTGCATTCCAAGCCAGGAGAGGATAGATACTTTGTAGCAGCACAGATAGCACCAATGTACACCCCTTCCTTCCGAGCCCTGTCGATAAGTCTGGCGACAGCATCACTCTCCTCGAACGTCTTTGCGCCGGGGGCGCCACCGGGCAGTACTATCAGGTCCGGCTATTTGTACACCCCTTAGGTCTACCGTAGTTTAGCATTTGGGGGGCGGGGGAAGGAGAAAAGTACAAGTTGAGCCTCAGGATCCAAACTCTGAACGTCCGGCACGATCTTGACTCCGCGAGAAAGTCTGGCGTATGATACGGGGGTCAGTGTCAGCTAACCCCTCCCCTCGCACGGTGGACACGAAACGATTGAAAAACAGAATTACCATACCTGGCAAACGAATCCGAAATATTCACCCCGATAGAGCAAACCAGGAATCCGGCGCGAACCAAAACTGCAGCGCAAATCGGGACAAACCGTCAGCTCAGCATCGCACCACACCACATCACCTGTTATCGGAACAGAACGAGAGCAGAAGGCAAAACGGGGAAAAAATAAATAAATAACCGGTCATACCATCATACACCGTGACAAATTCAATCTCTTCCGACCCATCCGCAACGAGAACGAAAGCATTCTTTGCCATCTTTACTATTTTTTTCTTGCTCTTTCCAGTTGGTGAACAACAGTGCACGGGGGGGGGGGGTGTCCGAGGGTAACTTGTGAGTTTAGGGTGGATGGTGCGCGATAAGTTAAGCAGGACTCTACGGAGTACTACTATACGGTTGGCAGCTGGCATGCCCCGCGCCAAGCGAAAGGGGGGAGGAAAGTGTGAGAGAGGAGCCTCACTCCGTGCTACCTGTTATCATATCGGTATCCACCCATACATACGAGACACCCACCGCCACTATCATACCACCACCACCACTTATCTCCCCAAGTTTAAGCCAAAATGCGGAGCGCATTACATTAATTGGTGGACCGCACGATCGCGCGCCCTCGCTCCCTCTCCCCCGCCCCATTTCATCCTTCACCCCTGCAAAAAAAAATTGAAAAAAATAAGGTCATGATGTAACACGATATGTTGTAGACTGAACAAAAGTCTTGTATGTATGTAAATTGTGGTGGTAATTACCTATATACACGAAGCAAAAGGAAAATGAAATCAGAAAAAAAAAGAAATAACGGGGGTGGTGGTAGTGGTGGTGTGGGGGTAAGGGAAGTGGGAATTGAACACCCGAGCCGCAACCGCAGGCGGCGCGTGATACCCCTCCCCCGTTCTGAACCAAGGTATGTATAATATGGTAACCCGACAAAGAAACAAGAAAGGAAGGAAGGAAGCGTGCTTACAGAGAAAAGAGTAACCAGAAAGACCCAGGACTCCAGTGAAAGTAGAAAAGGGCGAAAAAAAGTATAAGCATTAAACACAAGACCGTAGAAGAACCCCCCAAGTAAAACCGTACCCGTTGCCCTTTCTAAGATCTAAAAGCCATACAGCGCCGTGGAAAGTGTACTCCAGAAACAGACCCAACAAAGGAGAATGATCGAGCGAGTAAGGGAAAAGAAAAAGGGAAAGAAGATAAGACCTTTTGACAAGAAGAGAAGATAGTTTGTCCTGAAGACATTTGTAGAAGTAAAGAAAAAGTGTAAGAGAGGAAGGAAGCCACCGTAGTAAGACCCAGAAATAGAGAAACGACATGAGTATGGAAAGAAAGAATACTTTTTTTGCAATCGCGCCGAAAGAAAAAATCCCCTTAATTCCGGTACCGTCCTGCCCTTGTCCGTCATTACCCTTACCTTGCATCTATCATCCCGTCAGGAGATATCAAAAATACGCAAACCCGCCAGATAAACTCCGAGAAAAGCCCGCCCGAGATGGTAAAGAATTGATATTGAGAAAAAACAAAGGAGATTGGTTTCCATTGTGAGAATGGTATTCGAGGGATTGTTTTTTTTTTCTTTTTCTTTTTTAAGTCGAGGGTAGTGTGGGGAGCGTAAAAGCTATGTCGAGGGTCGAGGTGAGTATGTGGGGCCGAGGTGCACCGACAGCTTAAAGGAAGATTACTGGGTTTTTTCTTCCTTTAGTTGTACCCAATTTTCTCCCCGAAATACCAAGTCATCTCCTCATGGGGGCCATCACATCTTCGCTGGCCTGGCTTCCTAACAGGTTTCCTAACCATCCTCGCCTCGCCACGGATAGTGCCGGCGCGGAAGTCGATAATGAGATAAGCCTTAGGGACCATGGGGCGGTCCTCTGGCTTCTGAAGAACTTGACGCATGATGGGCTTGAGATCGTTCTTTGCTGACATAGGGTGAGTGAACTTCTTCTTGATGAACTTCTTGAAGAACTGGCTGTCTGTGTTATCGTGCATCTTGGAGTTATAGTCGGCTATAGAGTAATCAGGTGCAGGAGAGTCCTGCGCGTTCTTGAGTACCACCGGATCGATGGTGCCGGGGGGCATGTGACGTGCAGGAGAGACGCTCTTCGATACAGTGTTAGGAGCGCTGTAATAGGCCGAATCCGCAGCACTATGAGGAACAGAAGTTGCCTTCGGGGGGGTGGTGAGGTCGACAAGGGCCGGAGTCAATAAATCGACGGTGTTCGCCGAGGTGGGAAACAAAGTTACTGTGGCAGAAGCTTCAATAGCGGCTCCGTTTGTAGCTTTGCGGCGTCCGAGCAGTGATAACTGGTTGGTTCCCTTATTAACGAACGTCGGGTTCAACCTGAAGCTTGTTTTGCGGGCACGGCGGGCCTTGTTGCTGTTAGACAGCTCTGCCCTCCACCTCTTGCGGGACTGTTCTTGAAGCATGACTTGAGTTTTTGTACGATTGCTGTTGATGCCTTAGTGGAACTGTATAACTAGTCCAACTTTAATCAAGTTGGAGAGCAGGGCACGGCTGGCTGTGCTCGGGAAAGAAGGACGGAGGAGGGGGAGGAATGCCGTAAGACTTCAGTAATTTAGATGGCGAAAGGATTTATGTGGAAGATGGTTAAAGGTGTGAGGGTAGTGGGCGTAGAAGTAGGGAGAAACTAATGCCAAAGGTAGTGAGTTAAGGTAGAGGGGGAAGGGGATGGATGTTGTTAAGAGGAGGAGAAGTGGGAGTGGGTGGGAAAAGTAATGTGTGTAAGGTGGTGGTTGTGGTTGTGGTGGGGTGGAAGAGTTGTTGAAGGCCAAATTGTACCTAGAGTTGGTTGCTGCTGGTGCTGACGGGGATGACTGCCCGCAACAGCCAAAAACTTCAATTGTTACCGACTAAGAAACAATGGCAACGCATCAAGCACAATGGAAAAGTGCTTTAAGCGGGCGTAAATTGGGTCAGGTTAATAGGTATTTTTTCGTGACTTTCTGTTTCTCCTCCTTTGAAAAGTTTAAAAAATTGAGGGAAAGATGGGATCAACCCGGAAAGGGCTCGTTAAACGGACTCTGTTCGTTCGAAGAGGGTTTACTCAGGGTCCTCTATGGCCGCGGGGGGAGGTTATGGGAGTATGGATTACAGTCTGTCTTGATCTGCACAACCCCCAAGGCGCCGCAGGGATGCAGGGTGCTTATCGCTTCGAGAAGAAAGAAAAAAAAGAGGTGCAACTGCTCAGATTCCTGGACCACCGAGTGTAAGATAGTTCTGCGATATAAATTCACTGTTCGGGTCGAAAGCAAGAGAAGGGCGGGGAGGAGAAGAGAGGGCCAGTCTAGTTCCCGAATATCCCGCTTGCGAGAGAGAATGAAGCTCGAATGGAAGAGGAACCTTGGAGCGACGGGGACTGACTGACACCGATAGAAAGAGTGAACTTGCTGGGGGTGGCGGATTGACGGGCAGGCTTGACAGACCTCGTGCTACACACAGTTCAAGGGCTCCCACCCATACGATAGAACACGATTAATAGTAAAAATGGCAAGAGTGGAGTAGTTCACGGGCAGATTATTCCTCATCCGTCGCTGTTGATTCTGGCAGCGCAACCCCTCCCCCCCACCACTTTTCGATCTGGGAGCGTACTACGGTATTAACTACAGATGGGAGGTATTAGATGTACGGTATTATAGTTACCAGGGAAGCCGTCCAAGTCTAGATAATGTAGGAACTAAGCTTGTAGAGAAGTGAAATATGGGTAATAAAGCTGTAGCTGCAAGTTCATATATATCTATTTCTAGGCTGAACTCAAAATTGGAGGCTTTCCTTTCGTGCAGGCCTTAAAGGCGTCCTTTGACCCCCCGTCGTCAGAGGGAACAGAGAGCAGGAGAGGGAGCAAGGGTCAGAAAAGTGGTAAAAAAAAAAAAAAGAGTAAAAAAAAAGGTACAGCACCGGTACATGTTTTCGACTTGGCCAACAGCCCACAAGCAACAAAGCTACTTGTAGTTAGAACTGCTGCGAAAGAGAGCGAGGGGAAAAGGCCAATTGTCAGGCGCACGTCATGTTTTCCTCACCCAAGTGAGTGAGAAGTGGAGAGAAACCAGCTCTTGAGTTCAATAATCCTCTATGAGCACTTGAACCTTCACTGTCTTGGGATAGCTTGTCCGTCCTGATTCGAGGCTGACATGAACAGAGCAACCTTTTTTTCACGGGGCTGGCTACTTTTTGCGCTGCTCCTCCCACCGTGACGGTGCGCTGTTCTAAGGTGCAAGAGGAAAATAGCCAAAGGTATTTTCTCGAATGATGGAAATATCGAGCACCTACAAGAAAGTATCACAGCCTTTTCGTAATAATGCGATGTAGGAGAAACAGAAAATTTCTGTTAATTCGGGTTTCGGGGATGGCCTTCTTTGTTGAAATAAGGCGTCCTGCTCACTGTGTTAACCTGTGCAACAACCAGCGTTCACACGCAGCCTGGGAAAGAGGTAAAAGGCGCCCCAAACTGCAACCGCTGCCCCTTCCCTCCCCCGAACCTTCCAACCTGGATCGGAGGACGGCTGCCACGTAGGAGGAGTATACAGGAGAAGCCAGCACGAACATTTCTATTATTGAAAGGTCAGGGAGAATGGCAATGGCGAAGGGAGGAAAAGAAAAAAAGAAAAAGAAAAAGAAAAAGAAAAAGAAAGAAAGAGAGAGGTTCAGAAGGAAATTCAGAATTCATTTTAAAAAGAGGTTTTGCTGGCGAACGCGGGGAAGGGAAAAAAGGGTCAATTAATGGAGGGGTTGAGCTGTCCTTGCGCATCCTGCCAAGGACATCTCACGATGTTTCTGTTCTCGCAGCAGGGACGTCATGATACCTGACCGTTGGTATCATAACTCTCCTTCATGGGTTCCTCCTGCAGGAATATGATTGTTTATCCTGTTGGATGTGAGCCTTCGCACGGAGCTAGTACAGTACCTCACAACTCGCATCTGCTGGGTGACGTTTGGGCTTCAACAATTGATACACGCTACGGTTATCACCGAGCAGCAAAGTGTGAATCGCGAATAGCGCAATCCATTCCTTTGTGGTCAACCGGGTTCCTCAGGGGTTTTCCTTTGTTTAGCAAGGTCGAACAGGAGATCTCTCTCGCTTGCATCTCGCAATGATGGTGGAGTGTCAACCGAGTAAATAACGTGGGAGAGAATGTCTGTTCCTTGCCTGTTGTGGTGTAGTCCCGCAGCTCCCGCAGAGCACAGCAGTATGATACCGGTACCCTACTGGTACCGCACCGTACTGAGTACCGGTACAGTACTCGAGTACTAGTACTGTACAGTACATACCGGCCGGTGCTCTACACCACCACCCTCACCACCACCTTACCGCCTTTGAGCTAGCGCTCCACACTTCCGAGGGATGGATGGAGAGTGGATAATCTAAATCGGTAAACGGTGGATCTTGTTTTGACTTTTTTGCCCGCGTTCCGATGATATTTGATTCTCGGGATCTTCAGAGAGCTCTCAGCTCAATTGACGAGCTCTGATCTGGGTTCTAAAAAAGATCAAACTCATGGATCAGGAGTGGGTGGAAAGAAGAAACTGCGAATGCGAATGCGGTTCGCCAGCAACAATATGCGTGCCCCCATACCCCCCCCCACGTCCCGTGCGTGGTTACTTATGATACCAAAGAATTATTAAGTCCGTCACTCCTACTAGAACCCCCGCGGATCCCTTACTCGAGTATGATATCTCTACCGGTAATTACTACTTATTAACCCTTTTAAGTAAATTTTCCGGACTTGTGGCCCCGTTCGGAGCCTTAGCTGTGCTATTTTTGTTGGTTACCCTCAATTGTCGGGGTTTAACATTTTCGTTTATTCTAGCACCGACAAGCTTACATTTTTCTGGTAGGAGCGGAATGGAGAGTTGACCTGACTCGCCGGTGCCCTGGCTATCATAACATGCCGGCAATATTTGGTTTGAAAGGTGGGGGAGTGACCGATCGGCCAGGGCGATTGACGAAGGAATGTTGCTTGGCATCAGTAAAGAAACTACTACGGTAGTCTCCTCGAGTATACAGGTACTCGAGTACTCGAGTACTCGTAGAGTATCATAGTCTATTTATCGGAAAATCAGCAGGTGGCAATTGATTCATAATTTTCTTTTCATTTTACTCTCAACCCGAACTCTTGAGCTCGGCAGATCGATCCACACTGGCAGGAGGAGCCGGGCGCGACCAGATTGACACACTACATGTTCGGGCTACGAATTTCCTGACCACAACACTTTCGAACTACTACAAGTGTGTAGGGTAGAGCACTCGAGCACTGTACTGTACTCGTACTAGTATCATACTATAGTGAAATAATATTATGTGAAATATATGAAATATACTATCCGCTGACCTCCAGGAACTTGCTGATATGATATGCAGTACGGCAAAGATTTTTTCTTTTCTTTTTTTCCCTTTCCCCCCTCTCCCTGATTTCGCTTTCATTGTGAAAAAAGATGAGATTTCGTGGTTACTCTATTGTTGCAGTTCAGCGCTGACAGTACACTCAGCCGTGAGCGGGAGCATTTTATCTTGAGTTCTCTAGAGCTCAATTCAAGCGTCATAATCGCACATGTGAGTCGGACCGCCGAGACGTGACTTCCTCCGACATGGTTAATTCACCCATACCATGCAGTCTGCAGCCCTGCAGACATCTCCCGTTTGGCCGCAACCCGAAATTCCTCACTCACATGGAGCCTCCTGGGCGAAAGCGCTTACTAATTCTTAATTCGTAACCCTGATGATTGGAGTAAATTGAAAGGAGCTTCTCGAGTCATAGCTTTTGGTTATTAGAGCTTCCAGCATCTTTGTGTTCTCTGACTTGGAGATGAGGCATCCAACCTTCGTGTCACCTTAGGAAAAAACCCTTCGAGATTTATGACGCTCGATAATTTTTTGATAGAGAGCTTATCTGTCATTCCGGGGCTGCGTTGCGAGGCGTATTTTTTTATCGCTTGCAGTTTTGTTATTAATTCGGGGCGACGTGGTTGTGTCGGCAGCTAGGTCTAGCCTTTCTTCTATGATAGCCTTTCCTCTTCTAGCTAAGCAAACGTCACTACGAAAATCCATGCCCTGATCATGGATGCATACTGGAGGTGGGAGAAAAGATATTTCATTATCATACCGACCGCAAAATTCAATCCGATCATATCTTTCCGGGATACGTCTGCGATGAGAGCATGAAAAAAAAAATGTTAATTTCGGGTCCCTCAAGGTTCAAAAACGACTGCCTTATAGGGTACGGTCACCAACAAAAGCTTTAGGCTCTCCTTCAGGGCTTTGACGACCGCACGTTATGGATATCGTGGGTTTGAATTTACTTGAGACTGGTCGTCCTCTTAGAGGTTGAAAGAGTTCGGTGGATGCAGAATACGCCATACCCCGGAGGCCAAAGGATGTCCTTTGATTTGTTTGGGGTTGATATGCCTGTACCCGCCCGAGTCGTTATTCGCGGTCCCCGGCTGGCTGTTGGGCACCCTTTATGCGGATATACGGCAACTTCCGCGCTTCCGAGAGGAACTTGGCGCCGTATGAAAGTGCTACTGTATGCGCTAGAGAGAGCACTGGCAGGGCAGACAAGAGATGCTTCGTACCAGTATTAGTGTTGATGGACCAGGGGTCCGGAATATACCGAGAGCATGTGGCAATTCCGATATTTCGTGTCATCGGCCCGAGTGCTACTTGGTTCACCGGAACTCGTTTATATTGCGGAATTCGATCCCCTTTAGGGGATCACACTGGCACGTCGATACACCCTGGTCCTGTCTTTACGATTTGGTGTTTTTTTTGGTTTTTTTCAAATAGGTTACTGTGCCGTATCTTCACACACTCCCTACCGGTATGCAGCCTTTGAGGCGTCCCTTGTGTTCTACACATCTCGATAAACTTTGTGTACGTCTGTGGGTCCACTAAGAAAATCTGTTCACTCCCTCCCGATCTTTCGCCGAGGTTGTAGTTCGTTGGCTTATCTCGCACAAGTAAGCTTAGGGCCTCCCTCTACTTAGGTTATGCCAGGAACGATGACCAGGAATCCTCCTCTTCGCTTCGGATAGGACAGCGCATCCTAGGATTGAGAGGATAGTGCGCAAGCTCTTATAACCAAGGAGAAGAAATGGGTGGAAGAAACAGGGTCTTGTAACATACTGGGGCACATAACAATGGTAGCGCATCACCATAAATCACTCGTTTGAGAATCTTCAATATTATCGGTTGTCGGGTGTGTTTACCAGTCGCTTACGAGTAAAATCTTCGGGATGAGTCTGGCGAAGTTCCTTCTCTGCTTGAGTAAGGCTGGCGCTCCCTTTGCGCCTTCATTGGACAACTATGTTTTGAAAATTGTGATTGGAGTTCGGCTAGAGAAACCGGGTTTAGGTATTTCTTGGCACTATGAGGCACTCGTTCTGTGCTGTACAGGTACGTAGCGGCACTGTGCTCTGTTATTTCCACTCGCACACTCAGTCTATTTTATGATTTGGTTAGCTCCAAGTACTACACTTAGGTTAAGAAACACTAAGGTAGAGATAGATATGATATCATTATATCTATTATGGTATAATTTGTACTTTGGATTCGGGGTTCTATATCTCGACAAGTGGGGTGTTCATTGGTCGCTTTTGCGATGGGCTGTGAGGATTTTCGATCGGAAAAACGTGCTGGGCTGGACAATAGGTCTACACTGTATTCAAATACGGTAGGCACCTCCAGGTTTTCTGTTCCGTTGCTTTTCAGCTGTGGACTCGCTCGGCATCACCAACAAGCACCATCTGCGCAGTATTCTAATTAAAGTGACAGGACTACCAAGGTTTCAAGCACCCTCTGCGAGCAGGAGTTCATGACCTCCGGGGGAAAAGTGCATATGATAAGCGCTTTCTTCCGCACTTTTTCTCTCAGAATCCTTCGCAGCTCTCTGGGATAATTTTCGATCATGTTTCTGGGTCAAGGGCGCAGACGGCACGGGTCAAATGCTAACATCGAGCTATACCAAAAAGTTCTGACTAATGATAAAGGCGATGTAGGCGGGAGCTCGAGTTGGAGGGATGATGATGAATCGAAGGTGTTTTCCGAGGTGCGAACGAGGGGGTGAGCATAATGTGCCTGCACCAAAGCTAACTGATAGGCACTGGCTAATGATACCATTTTAGATTAAGGGAAGATGAGGGCAGCAATCCGGATGATTTGGGGGCATCGCCTTCATCGATTTCGCTCTATCCAAGCCAGGAGCCATCGACTACCCGGTCTAAGCTATCTACTTCGAGTTCTAGATTTTCGATACTGAAGGGTCCCGTGGTGTCCATTCTGGATACATCGATTTCGTGGAGGACGGGTGTTAAGATGTGTGCTAGCATCGCGGCTACGATATTCCTTTTTACGCTCGGGGTCACAATTTATTTTATTGCCGCGTACCCTCTTGAGAAGAGTGGGCTGGGGACGCTGTACTTGGGTGACTGTGATGAAATGAAGAAGATTAGTATCTGGGCGCATGTGGCTATCAATTTCGTCTCTTCGATATTGCTGGCTGGTAGTCATTACACACAGCAGGTATTGAGCGCACCGACAAGGGGGGAGATTGATGCAGCTCACGAGACGAAGTCAGTATACTACTTGGTCTGGGGTTTATTATTTTTGGAGGAATGTACTGACACGGTTCGGAAGGGACTGGTTGGATATCGGGATACCTAGTCTCAGGAATCTGAAGTAATGAGCGGTTCTTTGAATTATATCGAATATTGGTGCTAAGATTTCGGTAGGAGAGTGGGTCATTTACACCGGATGGAGAGGATAAGAGTGTGGGTTTGGTGGACTTTGGGATTTACAAGCGTTCCTATGCATCTGCTGTGAGTTTGTCCAATCTTTTCCTGCACCGTGAGCTTTCATTAATGTGTTTTCTCCGATCAGCTTCAACTCTGCCATTTTTTCCACACTGTCCTTAAACAACTATTACGTGGGAATAGTCACGCCGGACTTTTTTAATGGAGCCTCATATAACCAGACTGGTCACGTAATAAGTGGTCTTAGGGCTAAGACAATGGGTTCCGTTATTATAGAGCCGTTTGTGGAAGGCTTCAATTACACATTCTGGGACCCGAATCAGCCGGGGAAACGCTATGTCAGCAAATATATTTACGGAGGCGAAACCATCCGCGCTGGAAATGTTCGGATCGAAGGGAGTTTTTATAACACCACGAATAGCTCAGATTCCGTGGCTGTGAAAATCATGAAAGAGATGTCGTCGGATTTCTGGATGCCAGAATACAATTTCGAGCAGATGCGGGAAGTAGCTCAGACCATGAGTGAGGAGAGTTGGGCGTGGCATAAAATGGATACGAAAGAGTGCAGGGCAAAGTACTCGCGGCCGCTTCTGGGAGACATGCAGAATCTAGTGTTGGTCTCTTCAACAGAGCCCAAAGGGAACTCTTCTCTAATGTCAATGATCATATACAATTCTCTGGAGAAAAAGCATTACTGGATGTGTCAGAATGAGAGTTCATTGATAGATATTCACAACTGGAACAAAACTGGCTACGCTTTCCCCAAGGGCTGCCAGATGGGGGCTGATGATGGGGAAAGGGACATCCCAGATGGCGACTGGGTGGTTCGAGGACACACCATCACTGAATGCAGAGGTCAAATATCCCGGAAGAAATGCAAGCTGCAGTTTAGCGTCGGCATCCTCACGGTTGTAATCATCGCGAATTTGCTCAAGGCGATCGGTATGGCGATGGCCGCCTTCAGGATGAAGACTGTGCCACTTGTATTTATGGGGGATGCGATTGAGTCTTTTCTCAATGAGCCGGACATTACCACCTTAAGAAGGTGTCTAGCTGACAAGACGATGGCAGAGTCATCGTGGGAGCTTCAGCCGGCACCAAAGCCGTACGCGCCGGAGCAGTGGAGGTGGTGGCATGCGCCATCCAAGAGGAGGCGGTCCATCACTGTGGGGACCTGGGTGGGTATTATATCCCTATCGGCCATTTTCATTGGGGCGGGATACGCGAAGGATGCAAGGAATGGCAAGGAAACCGACATCAAGTCGCTGTGGGTATCCTAGCCCATCGCTTGGTCCATCTGGCTGACTGTCGTATAGGGTGAAGCATGGGTTTGGAGCACAAACTACTTCGTCGGTTCTCAGCTCCAGGGATGGAGGACTTATAATCCCGATATTCTTGGCCAATTCCCCGCAAGTGGTGCTATCGTTCTTATACCTAACGTGCGTTCCCGGGAACTTATAAAAAGCCCATCGGCTAATAGCTATTAGTTACAACGGCATATTCACTAGTATGTTTATGGCCAAAGAATGGATGGACTTTGCAATAAAGCGTAAACCACTCCGTGTATCGCAGCCAATCGGCAAACAGCGATCAACGTACTGGCTCCAGCTGCCCTACCGATACTCCCTACCGCTAATGGCACTGAAATCCATAACCCACCTTTGCGCATCACAGGGAATTTTCCTGGCAAAGTTCGAAGTCTTCAGTCCACTCGGCGAGACCTTTAAGGTCGTCTCCACAGTAGGATACTCTGTACGCCCTCCCCCGGTCACTCCTTCAGGTTCTCACTCGGTGGGACGTAGCTAATCAAACATGCACTGTAGGTGGTAGGAATAGCGTTGCTAATGGTTAGCGGACTAATCCACTTAATAGTCCTGTTCGCCATCGGCTCGAAGAAATATCCCCTTGGTATGCCACTCGCCGGTAGTTGCTCCGCTGCGATCGCAGCGGCATGTCACCCACCAGAGGGCGACATGGACGCATCTTATGAACCGCTAATGTGGGGCACTGTACCAGCGAAGTCGGGCTCCACCGCAGAACCGGAAGTGGGCCACTGCTCTCTGTCGAGCCTCCCAGTGGACCAGCCGATTATAGGGCATTTGTATGCCGGGAAGGATAAAGATGTATAGATCCTACCGCCACGCTGCTCGAATACATAACCTGCCGGCTAGCCAACAAAACAAGACACGTTGGCGAGGGTGGGTGGGTGAATTGGACAACTTATTGGACGTTTCTTTCATTTCAAAATTTCTTTCTTTCTTTTACATTTAATAATATTTTCAACCTCAACGATGCACATTGGACAGACGTTTGTAGGATTGGGATTGGAAGTAAATAAAAAAAGTTGGCGCAGTATGGCCAGTATAACTGTAGATAGTGGGTGTCACCTCATAGGCGCACGTACGAGCATCATACGCATTACGAGTACCGCTATGGGAGTTGCGGTTCAATTAAAGTGATCTACATCTGAGGCTCTGCGGGAATTGTCCAACCTAAGTCCCTATCCTACCGGTGCGGTAGGGTATGATACTCGAGTTGGGTAGGAATGGCACTTGACCCGTGCAGGAACTGGGCAGAGCCTGTCAACCTGATGATGCATACCTATCCTGTCTTTTACCGGTACTGCACAATGATAGGTGTGTAGCACCGCAGGGGCCATGGAGCGTCCGTATGGTATATAAATTGAGGGGTAATTTCGATATCGGAATGACACTTGTCAAAGGGAGGATAGAAAGGGAGGGAGGGTTTTTGAAGGAATTTCATCTCTCCCCTTTAATTTACCCCTGTGATTCTGTCTGTATCATAGGTTCTAAATTACTTCTGCGAGAGGTTGTTTTCCTTCCTGCAGGGTCGGAAGAGGAGGTGGGGGGGGGGAGAAAGGAAGTTCCAACAATTGATTCGTCGTTTGTTCGAAAAAGGGAGGAAAAGAAAAAAAGAAAAAAAAAAGAAAGAGGGGGAAGAAAACATGGTATCATAGAGGAGGAAATTTCCAACGAGTAGGAGTTCAAGTTACTCATGATGCTTCTTTCTTCTTTCTCTTACGTGCCATGATATCTATAAGTTGGTCGAGATAATAATTATCCGACGTTTTCGTGGTACATTTTGATACAGATACCGGTTGGTTTGTAAAAAAAAAGATCCCCACCATCTCTTTGACTTCTTTTTTTTCCCCTTACGCCAATCGAATTCCTAATCTCTGGTACTGTATGATAGCTCGAGGAGGAAGGAAAAGGTAGCGATAAGGGAATGAAATTTTTGTGAAATTTGAACTCTGCCATCACACCTTATCACACCGCTTTTTTTTTTTTTCCTTCTTTCTTTTTCGTTCCAATCAGCAGCACGTGCAGAGGACCCCTTCTTCCACCCGGCTAAGGGACAAACCGGTTAAGGTTCTGACTGACAAGTAACCGCCCAAAACCCGGGGCCCAGTTTTTCCGAGAACGTCCCTTTTTTCGATCAATCAATCCCTCACCGAATAGAAATTAAACAATCTAATCAGATCGATCACCCTCGGCCTTCTGCCCCTCCTGCCCCCCCCCCGCCACCACCACCACCACCAACCGACCGATCAACCAACCAAACCAGACCAGCCGACCGACCGTGTGCAGCAGGACCGTACCTACATCCACTCGTCCATCCAGGCACGGGGCCCCACACGCACCACCATTAACCACCACATAACCACCAAACAGAACCCGATCTTATAAACAAGCATGTTATCCCAAACATCCCGCACCCTCCTACTCCGCACCCCGCGCCTCCGAACATTCACCGCCTCGAGTATCTACCGCCAAGCTGCGACTTCTGCCACTGCTACTCCCGCGGCAATTCCAAAAAAGAGACCGGTTGGGGCTTTCAGGGGGGGGTGCATTCCTCTTTCTTTCTTTTTGTTTTTTTGGCCCAGAATACCTTACCCCCACCCCTTGTCCCTTCCGTTGCGCTCTGGTTTTGATATACTGATTTATATGGAGGATAGGCTGTTTGGATTTCTTCTTGGATCAACGTTTTCTGCTGGCACCGCCTACTTTTACTGGCTTGAGGAGTATAGGGTTTCTAATGAGCTTTTGACCGAGGATGTTGAGGTTTGCTTTCCTGTTCTTGGTGCTCGTGGCGAGGGTTTTTTTTTTCCCCCTGATGGGGCTGATTATGGGATTATATATAGGCTTTGAGGAATTCGATTCAGAGGGTGGAAGCTTATGTTAGACGGTTGGAGGAGAATATGGAGATCCAGAAGAGTGCTCCTGGTAAGGGAAAAAAGTGATGGACTGGTGGGTGGATAAGAGGTTGTATGGACGGGGGATGAGTGGGTAGGGGGTTATACGATTTTTTGTGATTGCTTGAGCGGACGAGCGTTGGGGGAGTTGGACTGTAATTAACCAAAAATGGGGATCCGCGGGTTTTTATATTATTGGGGTTCTCATGGGCGTGCCGTACTGGTGTAGTGTGATGATGGGTGATCATGCGAGCGTGATATGTTCTATCTGTGGGTCTTGAGATAGAGCACTTGTATGCATGTATGTTCTCTAGTCTAGTAAAAGTATTAAGACTATCTAAATAAAGGAGTAGCCTGCTTAATACCTACAGTACTATAATTATGAGAAACTTTTGTTACAATTTTTTTGTACAGTACAGTACACGACACCCTATATATCGGTAATTCGCCTTCAAACTCAACCCGAGGCACCTGTATGATTTCCGATTCCGGTCAGTTTCCAGCCTCCTTTTCCGCAGCCACCTTACTGGCTTTCGGCCTCTTAGCCAACTCCTCTTCCCCCTCCAGTAGCTTCTTCTCGGCTGCTATTTTTTTCTGCGCTTTCTTCTCCTTCTTTTTTAGCAACTTTTCATGCCGCTTTTGTAACGTCTTCTCCCTCCTCACCCGTTTCGCCTCTATAGTTGCGATATGCTTTGCTCTTTCTAGTTGTAGTTGCTCAGGGGATTTCCCCCCACTCATTATGGGAGTAAGCGTCTCGTCATTTTGTGATTTCGCTTCGGTGGGTTCTTTGGGGATCCATCGCGACACCTCTTTCTCGACCGGGCCGATCATGAGCGTATCCAGGTCAAAATCGTACCCGGGGCCTGGAGGATCGTGCACAGGAGCACCAGTATCTTCAGGGAGGGGCTCTGGCCTCGCAAATTCAGCTGCGAGAGCTGGTCTCCTACGGGCGAACTCATCACGACTCGCTCTCATCCTTGCTAGCGACTTCTTCACCGATTTGCCCTCCCTTCCTGACTTCACCGCCTTCCTCTCCACTTCCTCGATCCTCTTTTGCATCTGCCGGAACATCTTCCGGTCGTTGCGGTCCTGGTGAAACTTCTCTTTCAAGTACCTTTCCTTTTCCCCTAGAGTGCCACTGAGCAATTTGTCAAGCTCCGACACCCCCGTGTCCGGCCCGAGATTTTCCATTCCGTGCCTCAACTTCTTCATTGCCGTGATGACCTTGGGAATCTTGTAGGCTGCCTTCCCGACGTCGTTATCTGGGTCGGTAGGGTCTACCATTCGGAGCATGAATGGCAAGCGTTTCCTCTTGCCTGGTGCCTATGAACAGGATTAACAACAATAACAGTAATTCCTTGGCGCAATGACGGGTCATGGTACCATTTTCTGTATTATCCCGGGATCCGGTACCAGGATATCTTCGTTATATTTCCATCTTGTCCAGAATTTGAGGTACTCCACAAACATGTCGTGCCTAGAACCGGTAATGAGGGCTTGGTAATCTCGAGGAATCAAAGTCCTTCGATTGACCTAAAGTCATCGCTCTAGTTAGCTCCCGACGGCTACCACCCGAATCCATGGGGACCGTGTAACAATACATTAAAAAACCCAATAACAGTCAAAGATACAGCATAAGACCCCAAACCGCCTTTATAAACCTCATTCAATCGCCTCTCCCGTAGCCTATACACCACCCCGAGTAAGCAAGTTACCCGCATCCGATCCAATTCCATCCCTCACGACAAAAGCCGGGAGAAGAGAAGAACACACCAATACTTCATAAGAATGACAAGATCCCTCATGAACGGTCTTTCATCAAACGTCTGAACCAAGTACGCCGTATTCCTGACCGCGTTCTCCTTCTGAAACGATATATCAAACTTAAGCGGCGGCGTCACTTTCTCGTCCGTGTACGTCAATATGGGTACCTTAGCGCCCCCTATGACCGTGCAGTTCCGCGGCTCGGCGATGCGCCGCCCGATGATGGCTTCCCTCATACGAGTAGCCGCTTCAACCATGCATTTATGCTCATCACTTTGTCCGGGGATGGATACGAGAAGGTCGACATCACTGCTCATCCCGTCCCATTGTCAGCTTTAATTGGATTTTCATCATGTGTGCGCGCGTAGTGGTGGTGGGGGGAGCAGAAAGAAAGAGAAAAGAAAGTCGTATAAATATATATACCTACCTATTCTTCAAACTGGTCCTCGTCTGGAACGAACCTACCGGGTAGCACGATGCTCTTGGCCAGATGGAGTGAACGACACATCTCTGTCTGACGATGCTTGCGCCTCGGCCGGCGATTACTTCTGATGATAAGCAGAGACGCGTTACGAATGATGCGAGGCGGTCAGTCATTTCACATTGCGGGTTTCGAGAAGAAGGGGATTTTTTTCTTCTCCGCCCTGACGCTGGGAGTTTTTTTTATGGTGGGGGTGGTGGTTGGTGGTGGTGGGGAATTTCTTTTATTTTTTTATTTTTTTATTTCTTTTCTAATTGGGTCACGTGATTGTAAGAGGCTAGGGTTTTGCATAGGGTGTCACTCGAGGTTGATGTGCTCAATGCGCACCGTTTGGCCAAGGAGGCAGGGGCCAAAGCAAGCTAAAACTGGAGTTTCCGATGCTGTAATAACTCACCGAGTCTTACGAGTATTGGGGGGCAAAATACATCACCCTAAGGTAACCTTTTAGACTCTTGTGTCTAACTGAGTGATCACAGAGTGCCCGCCAAGACAGCGGTGTTCGTGCAATAACGCTGTCGATAACCTCCATTTTTGGTTTGCTTTGGCCCATGTCACCTCACTGACGGACAACCCCCCCATCGCGCGGGGCCGTGACTAAGGTTGGAGTCCTAGTTCCGGTGGGAAGTTTCTCAGCGTGCATTGGTTGGCTGCTGGGCGGACGTGGTTTTCACGAAAGCCTGCCTGTCTGGATACTTGGCGGGGAGGTCGGTGGTGCAGCATATACAATGCATAGTATGACTTCCGGGATCTGGGTGGTTGATGCTGGCCTGGCCGAGCTTTCCGGGAAGAATGGGGGGCTTAGAAGTGTCATGTCTTGTAGATTTTCGCTGGCAGGGGGGGGACACCTGATCTGATTGTGCAGGGGAGGATATACTCGTGCTCGTTCCGGGAAAGAAGTACTGTGCCCGGGAATAGCGGGGTATATTTCGTATCGGCGCTCATGTAAGCACCAGATTATGTGCTGTTATTCCTTCAAATTAATGTTTTGGGGCCTCCTACCCGGGATACCACAAGCTAGCATGGTAACGGTAAGTAAGGGTACTAGAGGGCGCGGGGGGAGGTAAAGAACAGATCTTTTGGTACTAGGCTGTGGATTAAATGGTAGTCCGTGCCGACATGGCGTATAGAAGCTACTTGGAAAGGGATAACTCTATTCGCATTGGGTTACATATCTTGTTTACAAACTACCCGGACAAATATCAGTGCTAGGGGGTAGGGCTGCTAGTGCAACTTCGGGGGGGGTGTTCTCAACCACTGCCTCTCGCATCACGATATATCACTCGTAAATACATCACAATAGTTGCTCAATTTCTACAGGATGTGAGGTTCGTGATGCCAGACTTCAAGGTTAGGTGCAGTGGTCTGAGAGGGTAATATCGCAGGTCCGAACATTATGGCGTTCGTATGTTATTCTTATCAGCGTGCGGGGCGAGTATTCCTATAGGATCAATATTTGTAATATTTCCTCTCCGTCGCGAACATATCCGCCCCTATTGCACGGTAAATGGGGGGTAACACAAATCCTTCCCCTCGAACTCTTTGATGAAAAATTTTTTTTTTTTGAAAAAATGAAAAAACAATCCAAATCTAACTACCAGCAGGATGAGTATTTATTTAAGTAGTATTCCCAGAGCAACTAGATTACGGTGCGGTTGGGGGAAGTTGGGGGGTTAAATTACCCCTCGCAATGAGCCTTCATCGAACGCCTCATCACATAAGGGGGGAAGAAACAATAAATCTTTCCCTGTGGAGACTGGGAGATTGGAGATCTTGGCCTTCGTCCGTAAACAAGTCGTAGGGCGTATTAGTCCTGCTGAGAAGTTGTAGGATCCGACTCTAAACCATGCGTTTAAGGTGACGACTTCCGTCGGGAGGACAGCAAAAGAAAAAAGGAGAGAAGAGAAGAAAGAATTAAAAATAGGAAACAATTATTCTCCCTTTTTTGGCCTGGAAAAGCATCCGCAAATCCTAGATGCTATATACACATTCTTTAGTACAAAAATGGCTGAGTCGGCCTCAAGGTCCCAGTTACCATCAACTACCCTTTCACCATTGATCGGCGTGTAAACTTAGCGCTTACTCACAAGGAAGCCAGGTAAGGTCCGTTCAATACGATAATAGTGGCAAGGGTTGCCAAAACTTCCCCCAGGATTTGTCCGGGGATTTTTCAGTGGGAAGCAGCGCCACAAGGCTTGAGATGCTGTCCTTGGCCCTGGGAATGGGAAGTGGGTTGAAAGTCAACCACTTTCTCTAACCATAACCTTTTGGACTCCCCTTCACACCGAATTGTGGCAATTCGTAAAAAGGGATTGCTGTATCCATATCATACGGACTTTTATCATAGCAAGCACCAACCAGAACCCAGCTACCTTCTCCGGACTCGGTATGATGATATCACAGGGGATCACTCGTGTCATTGACCCTGGAAAATATGCTTGTCGGATCGTATCTGTAGCCGTGAAGGACAGGTTTGAAAGTCTTAGACGATTCCGAGAACGGGGCTGCGGTAGCTGGAAGATGATTCGATATCATGGACTCATCGCTCTTGCATTGTGTACGGTCAGGTTTTGGGAGGGTATGTCAAGGCAAGTGTACCGTTTGTGCCGTTAGGAATTGGCTAAAAGATTTTCGTAAAATGAAGAAATGAAAATTGGTCCGAGCACACTGAACACATACTTTGCCCAAATTCCCTTTGTGGGATATATATACCCTCCAGCTTGCTTAACTAGGCCTTAGACTGGATTAGTGATTTGCAGATTTGACCAAGGAAGGACTTACCTTTTCTTCTGCATCCATATTGACCTCTAGCATCTCTGTAAATGCCCTTTGGATTACTAACAACTTTTGAGAAGGGGGTTTTTGAATGTATCAGGTCTTGCTTAGAGGCATGTCTTGTACAGTAGTCTGTTTCAATTTTCTTTTGAAGGCCTTGTTTCTTTTCGTAGAGAGGATTACCAGTTCAACAGAGGTATACTTCCACCAGAAGTGATCTGAATAACTGTACAGCACTGTCTAATAAGTTCTCGTAAGGTCGCCGGCAACGGCACCACCACAACAAACAGTAAAGTTGACCACAAAAAAAACAAAGATATGAACTCAATTAAAAAATACATGATAGTAGAAATAGAAAATATCAACCCAACAATGCTACCATTTTGTATGACCTCCATTTGCATCTAGTAGAGCCTGAAGTCTCTCAGGTATTCTCTCAATCCACCTATCCAAGGTCTCCTGTGGAATCAGATCCCACTCCTCCTTTGCTGCCTGAAATAATTCAGCAGCACTATAGGACCTTCTTTGCTCCTTGGAGAATCGCTTTCTGAGGGCTCTTTTGAGAAGTGCTCAGGCATTCTCAATTGGGTTAAGATCTGGTGAGTTGAGAGGCTAAGGCAATCTTTTCTATCCACATTCCTCTTGTAATTTCTTGTTTTCCAACCCAGCATACCATGATGCATTATCAGCAGCCATATAGATGGTTTCTGGAGCTCTGTTTATGCCTTCTATGAAAGGGCTAAGATATGGCTGGTGTATCTCAGTTGCATATTGGTGTGCATTGAGGCCAAGTTTATTACCTTTACTAGTCCTCTCCTCCTCAGTCCTCTTCCTCACAAGAATTAACTCTGTTTTTCCTCCATGCATAATTGCAGCATAGACCCCAATATTGGTGCATCTTGACTTCAAACTAGGTTTTAAGTTTTTTTCTTCCAGCTCTTTACCTGGTCTAAGTCTGACCTTTCTTCCTACTGGATTTGGGTCATATTCAATAGTAGCTTTATCGGCAAAAACCACCCACTTTCAAGCTCTTATCCAGTTCTTTCTCATCCTTGCAAACCCCTTTCTCTTCTCCTTCTGTCCTTTTCTCCAAAATAGCTTTTTTCTAGGTATCTTGAGCTTAAAACCAGCTTCTCCAAAGATTTTGTTTATAGTATCTTTTCCGAGACCAATATTAGCCTTTTGGGTATCCCTTAGTACTAAATGAGGCTCAGAATTAATAATACCAAGAACTACCTTCCTTTTAGTATTGGTAATTTTGGTAGGTTTGTCAGCTCTGGGGACATCATGGGTGTTACCATCATGAATTTTGGCTCTTTAGATCACTGATAAAATAGTTAATTTGGGGAGGTTCATCAACTTAGAAATTTTATCATACTCTATATCAGTATATTTATATAGGGCATGAATTTCTCAGTTTGTATCTTCATAGACTCTTCAGATATGTAGTAGGGTGTAACGATCCCTCTCTGGGTAGTTTGTGCTTGGCGACGGGGAACGATACTTCTCTTCCTGTCTTCTTCTTCCTTTGTCCTACGATAGCTCTAGGCCCCTGCCTACGTTACTGATAGTACAAGATCCTTGTCTTCTACCGGGAATGCCTATCGTAAGCTTTCTCTAACTCTTCTTCGTAAAGTGCCTTTCTTGGCGTAATGATAACGTGGCAATAAGGATAAAGATCGTAAAGGTGTTTTATATTCGTTAAAGTAATAAGTAGGAAAAGTACTTAGAATTCAATCTAATTTTATTTATACTAGTACTGCCGATACCGGCATACGACCAGTCTCCCCCGCGTCCCATAAAACAAACTATCTAAAATACACTACCGTGGACCATTCCGCCTCGCAATCGCTCCCCCCAAACATAAATCCAAAAATCACTACCTAAATGGGCTCACGGGCGCTCGCAGCAACTAGTGCTGCCCCAGATTCACGAGTCTTCCCACCTCGCTTCCCAGCCACCGTCTCATACCCTCTCCCCTATCTGCCTCCAACACAATCTGACCCACGTACTCTACAATTGAAACATACAGTCTATCCCAACACCCCTCTGTCCTTTTATAATGTAGTCCCAGGTCCACGTACCCTTCGGCCAAAACCGTCCTACAAAATGAACAATGCTCCTCCTTTAGCAACCCTTTTGTCTTAGCCCACCGCAAAACTACCGACGTCCGAGTCGCGAGGTCCAGCTCGTCCCACTGCTGGTGCCGAGAATGCCAAAACCAATTGTGACACGTTCGTAAACAGCGGGGCTTTCTCTCAAAGTGTTCGGAAAAGGTGACTCGTTTCTGGGTGGGCGTCGCCGAAATCGCAGTCCTACAGCAGGGACAGTCGCAGCGTCGTTGGTTGGGCAAGAAAAACCACTTTCTCGGCATGGTAACCAGTCCTGGCAGAACGCATCCACTGCCATCGTGTTTTTTCTCGCACCAG